GAGTTGCCAAGGCACTCTGCACATACAGCTTTACCCCTCCGTGCAAACCTGATCCTGCCTGACTGACTTGGCATCCTTCCCTGTTCCCCACTGCATACTGGTCAGGTCCAAGCTCTCTAAAACAGCACATAAGACCTTTTGTGTGACCTCCGCTTGCCTCTTCAGCTTCACTTCACCAACTTCTGGCTTTACAGTTTTTGCTCTGGCATCACCAAACTCTCATTTTCCTGCATGAGTGGTGATGTCTCTTTCCTTTATCTTTTCATGCCATTCCTTCAACCTTCACGTGGCCTTCCCCCATCCCTTCCATCTCTTACTCAACTCCTACTTGGCTTTTAAGAACCAGACCAAACATCATTTCTTCTAGGGCAGATTCCAGAACTTTCTCAGGTCACAGCACCTTTCATGTCTTGAGTAATTTTTACATAGAGCCTATGGGCCAACAAAAATATATAACGGTTCTGTTCATTAGTAGTTAAATTCAAATAATGTCCTAACAACTTAGGAACCACTTGAAAAAATAACACACATAGATTACAAGAAAGTACTGTTTTTATTTCATTCTTAAATACGCATGACTACTTACTAATGAGACCTGTGTAATGGGCACTGCACAGCTGCTCAAACTTCTGCCATTATTTCCTGTTCCACATTGGATTTCATTGGGTACTAGCTTTTTCGTTACAGCAGTTGCCAAAACTCCAGCTTCACAAAGACAGAGGTCAAGAGGAATGCAGCACAATCAATATTGACCCTGTCACTACTCAGCTAGGAGCTGTGTGGTGGCCAATGGTTGATGAGTGTTGCCATGTTTCCCTCTAAAACTTTTAAATCTCCCATGGCACCTCATTGAGCTTAACATGTGCCTTGAACTAGGATAACCTGGGGTTCAACTTGAGAAACTCAGACCTAGGAACTCCCCGCTGTGGCATTAGATTCCCCTATTCTGAGTGCCTTGTCACAGTCATGAGTGTGACACATGCATTGTAAGAAGCTACTTGTGTGTCGCTTCCTTTCTGTGTGAACCCTTCACAAGCAACGCCCTTGCTCTCCTCCTCTTTGGACACCCAATGTAAGCCCAAGACATGGTTGGTGTTCAACAGAGGAGAACTGAACTAACAGGAGGGTCAGAGTCACAGTGGAACCCAAGGAACCAGGATGACTGCAGGAGGGGACATGGAGTCTGCTTGCAGCTGAACAGGAGACTCTAGTCAAGTTCAAAATCTGTGGTTCTAGGAGAAGTGAGAACCTGCCGGACCTGAAAATGGAGCCATAGATGGGTGCCTGTGGCTCATGCCTGTATTTCTAGCTACTAAGGAGGCAGAGATCAGGAGGATCATGGATCAAAGCCAGCCCAGGCAAATAGTTCATGAGACCCTATCTCGAAAAACTCTTCTCAAAAAAAGGGCTGGTAGAGTGGCTTGAGGTGAAGGCCCTGAGTGCCAAAAAAAAAAAAGTGCCAGCCTGGATCAGCCAGGGGTACCAGAGGCTGAAAGAGTGCCAGACAGACAGAAAGCAACATGGTGTGATTTTGGTTTTCATTTGGTTCCCTGGCAAGAGTTCCTTAAGAAGAAGGTGGGTGGGAAGAATAAAAGGAAGGAAAAAAAGAAGAGGGAGAAAGGGAAGGAAGGGAGAGAGAAGGAAAAAAAGGGAAGGAAGAGAGGAAAGGAGGGAGGGGAGAAAGGGAGGGAGAAGGGGGGAGAGATCAAGAAAATAAAGGGAAGGAGGGAGCGAGTAAGGAAGTGAGGGAGGAAGAAAGGAAGGAAAGAAAGAGAGAGAGGGATGTTTCTTGTCTCTAGAAAACTGGCAGGAAAGAATTTGACCTTTCCAAACCTCCTTCAAAGCCATCAGAGCATTTCTGTGATCCTAGGCCAGCCCAACCTCAAATCCAAAAGTCTTGGGAACTGAGGGCAGAAGCAGGAGGAATCTCAGTTGAGCTTAGCAAGGCCCTAGGTGGGTGCTGTTGGTTCTCCCCTCAGGACTGAGCTGCTCACAGCTGTCTACCTGAGGTTTTGATTAGCATTGGTTTTGCCTTATTTGTGCATTCTTGTTAGCCATGAGAGTTTGTCCCATTTTTTCATAGTTTGCTACAAACGAACCCTACAAATAATTGGGAAAGGTAGGACTGAGATCAGACATCATATTTATGTGTGCACGAGACAAAATTTCAGCAATTCACACGTTGTCCCATCAGTCCTAGTCAGGCAGGTCTCACTGAACTCATTCACCCATTTAAAGGGCTGCTCCTCTGTCTGGTCTTGGGCAGCCTCTGAAGTAAATCCTTTACCCAGGGTTGTAGAAGCTTAGGTGTGGTCTGGGTTTTAGGGTCCACCCCATATACTCCCACTTGCCCTTGGCACTGGCCCCAGGGGTTGAGCCAAGGAGGTGGTGCTGGGGGCAACTGTCTCTCTTCAACTGAGTGAATGGGGGAGACTCGTGCCACAGCTTCCCTTGTTTAGTCTGTTCTGGGAACAAGCTCAACCCAAATGGTGGCCAACCTGGTAGAGGGTGAAGGGACCTCAGGTTTGCCTGAGGTTTGAGGTTCTATAGAAAATGGGAATTTACTCCTCTTAAAACCTCCTGCCTTGGGAATTTCAGATTGATAAATACTTTCTAGAAACTTTGAAAATATCTTTAAAGTCCATTACTTCCAGAAAGTTCTTTCTGGTAGTTCAGCCCTTTGTGCTGTAGTCAACACTTATTCTTGCTTAGCTGACTCTCACTAGAGAGGGTGCCTTGATATGATAACCTTGCACAAAATTAAAGCCCTCTCAGACTTGTCTTCTTCAGAAAGAAGAATTTGGGTTTCCTTAACCTTTTATCGCAGACACCCAAACCTTTAATTATCTTCCTCGGTATTTTTTCTTGAACCCTCTCCAAAACGTGTCTTTTGAGTTACAGAGACCATAACTTAATTAGATCTTTCATTTCCAGAGGAGTCTCTTAGTTCCTCAGAAGTAAATTAAATTTCAGTCAGATATATTTCATTGGCAGTGGGGAGTGGGGGAAGGGCATAAGAAAAACAAATTGGATGCTTTTATATAAATAGAACAATGTCTGTACCACAATTGAGTTTTCCTTTTTCCAATTGTTTTTAAAACAATGGGTCCTTTTTTTGGATGAATTTAATCCCTCAGAGAGTCTAACCTCTAACGGATCATGACTGGCCTGCTTTTGTGAGTACATGGCTTCTCTACCTAAAAAAAAAAAAAGCAAGGAGCATTGCTTCTGACTGTCTGGTAAGCTTGGCAGCTCCTGGCAAGGTGTGTGAGCAAGTGTGGGGGAAGGGAGTCTCCAGGCTTGTAGCCTTTTCTGATCCAGCTTCTGTTCTGAGGGCACTGGACAGGTCTGTCTTGCTTCTCCATGATTTCATCTTATTGTGAGTAGGTTTGTCTTTCACAGTGCTGCTCTAATTAGCCATATAGCCTTCTTTATCCCAATCACTGGGAAGCCATGCTAAGATTTCTGGGAGGGATGGGGGGGGGAAGGAAGGTGTTTGACTTATTTTCCTGCTGTAGAACAGAACAGCAGAGCCTAGCCTTCACTAGACATCACCTTTGCCAGGCTGCTTTGAGCAAATGTCTTCACTTCTTTCCTCCTGAGTTTTCCCTTGTGTAGAAAGAAGAAGCAGAGGTCAGACTGTGATATTCTTCTATCACAGAGGAATAGGAAGAGTTGGATTCCACAAACAAATTCGAAAAGAAGGCTTGGGAAAGTGACACCTTAATTTGGATTCCTTCCTTTGTTTTCTTCCTCCCAAGGACCCTGAAAGAGTGTGGTGTAAAGAGGCAAGAATGATCATTGACTGACTGCTTGTGATATGTCACTACAAGACTCCCGTATACACTAGCTTATTCCATCCTTCCACCTCAGTGTAGAGTGGAGGTACTCAATGCCCAACACCACCATAATGGCCACACAGCCCCACTCACCTCACCCAGATGAGTCTACATCCTTCAGGTTTCACTCGAAATGCCACTTCTTCAGAGCCCCTATTCCCAACCCCCTTGGACCAGGTTAGACCTCCCTTGTCCTGTGCCAATATGGTTCTCTGTGCTTTCCCTCCATTACACTTGCCATGCGAGTAATTAAATAATTAGCTATATAATTAATGTGTTTGTGTCTAGTGAGCTGAAATCTCCATGAGAGCAGGGACCATATAAGTCTTGCTCATATTGTATTCCCAGAGCTGGGGCAGTGCTGACAAAACCGTTGAGATTCAGTAGTTATTGAGTAAATGGAAGAATGAATGAATTAGCAAAGCTACAAAACAACCCAAAGCCAGCAGGCTCCTGTAGACCTGTCCACAATTTCAGAAGAGCTACTTGTAAGTTTTCCCAAGAGCCTGACTGCCATAACTGTCCTGTGATGACCGTGGGACGTTGAGTTGTTTCAACAGTGTGGGCCCTGCCCACACTGTTGCACCCAGCTCTCCTTGTGCCCCAGGTGTCTGTTAATTTGGAGATGATAGAGGTGATGGATCTAACCTGGGACTGTCAGTGGTACGGATTGAAGAGGGTTGAAAGAAGCCAGTGACTTTACCCAAACCTAGTTGTCCTGTAGACATTTAGCGCCATGTCTTCATAACCATTAGCACCGCCTTCTCACCCATCCCGCCAAGGGGCTGTGAACAAGCATTCACTCTGCAGGGGAACTGGGTCAGTGAAAAGGAGTGGGTGAAAAGGGAAGAGGAAAAGCCAAGACATGACAACTTTTAGAGAAGCAAAAATAAACTGTAATGTGAAAACTGCTGAAAATAGACTGCCTGGGCTGTCAGGCTGCATGCAAATCCAATGCTAATTACATGGAAATTAATGACAAGTCCTGACTTCCATATGCCTCAGTGTGACCCTTAGGCAGAACCTGCTGCAGGTGTCTTGCCCCATCCTACAGAGCAGCTCTGATGTCGCCATCTGCACATTCAACTCCTGCCTCTGCCTGGAGAAAAGCTGAGAGGAAGCTAAAAATACTAACAATAGATATTTGATTTCTTCTTCCAGACAAAAAGCCTTGGCGTCCACAGGAGGAAGAAGTGTTCAGGCAGCATGTGACTGGTTGGTATGAAATAAATAAATTGAGAAAATAACATATAATTATTCTGAGTGTATGGGGATGAGTGGGGGTGAGCAGTCTTTTTCTAATGGACCCTTGGGTGTAGGGGAGATGAGCCAAAGGCTGTGTGACAAGTTCATGTATCAAGTCAAGTGCCTCCTCTGCCCTGGCCCCAGCGCGAGCTTCTCCTTGAAGCTGTTTAAAAGAAATCAAAGGCTTTCCCAGACAGACCCTCTCACAATATCTCTTCCCTCTGGCTTAGGGGTGTGGGTGCTAGGCAGATCAATTTAGAAAAGTGTCCTACTCATCCCCATGACACCACTACCCAGAGGACCCCACCGGGCGACCTTCCTAGAGTTTCCTTTTTCTTTAGAGGCCTGTGGGCTTCATAAAGCAATGAACTAACAATAATATAATTAAAACTGTTTTTCAAAACAGTGAACTAAGGGTTGGGGTATGAGGACCCGAGCTAGTAAGTGGGGAAAGGATTCAGAGTTAACTTGAGAATGCTTCCTGGAGTGCAGCTCGGGATTTTAGGGAGCTGTGGGATGAGCAGAAGTCCCCGCATCTGAGCGTTGGCTGGGAAGTGCGAGCTTCGAGGGGTGGCTGTTTACAGTGTGGAGCATGTGGAGCGGAGATCTGCTTTCTTTGCCGTTCTTTCTTCCTTTCCGTTATTCTCCAGCGTGGCCCCCTTGGATCTCTTCTTTCAGGTTGTTCTCCCACGTCGGTGACCCCTTCCTGGATGACCCCCTGCCCCGGGAGTATGTCCTCTACCTCCGCCCCACCGGCCCCTTAGCACAGAAGCTCTCCGACTTCTGGCAGCAGTCGAAGCAGATCTGTGGAAAGAACAAGGCCCACAACATCTTCCCCCACATCACTCTCTGCCAGTTCTTTATGGTGAGCTGCGGTCCCCCAGCCTCCAGCAGGAGGATGGAGGCTCCCAATGTCCCAGACAGCCCCCCTTGGGATCTGGAGTAAAGGTGGCAGCTGCTCAAGAAGACCATAGAAATGGTCAGGGCTCCTGGCTCTGGGCCAACCTTCCAGGGCTCTCACCCCAATTCCCCTTTCCTTACACCTGCTGTCACCCAGGAGCACCCCAGGTTTAGTGGACCATCGTGATGACCTTAGTTCCAGCCTGACCCTCTGTGGGTGGCACACAGAGGTGGCAGCTGGAACAGAATAGTTGATGTAGCTTTACTCTCATAGTCTACCCTCTCCAGTCTTGTGACAGAGAAAGAAGAAACAGAGAAACCAGGGAACAACAAGCGTGGTGGAGGGCTGGGGACATGGCTCAAGTGGTAGAGTGGCTGACTAGCCAGTGGCAGACCCTGAGTTCAAACCCCAGTACCACCAAAAAAACAAAAAGAAAATGAAAGACAAAGAAAAAGTGTCAGAGATAGCCTTTTCAGCCTTATGGAAGTCAGTTGAATCTTTTCACAAGATCTTTCTAGAAAGAACAAAGATAGCTTTTCTGCCACAGTTCCTCATTCACAGTCCTAGCTATCAAAAAGTTTATGTCGTGACCAAATTAAGTCAGTCCTCCTCCCTGTGGTGCACACTAAATTCATGTATGCCATCTACTTCAACTATCCATGGTGAGGGAAAAGGGTTGACTTACCCACGTATATTCAAGACAAAGCGGAATTGCAGCATTTTAAAAGAATTTTTAAAAGAATATGTTGTTTTGCTTTTTCCAAATATTCTCATTCATTCTCTCTCTCTCTCTCTCTCTCTCTCTCTCTCTCTCTCTCTCTCTCTCTCTCTCTCTCTCTTTCTGTGTCTCTCGTAAAAAATGTTTCCAACACCTTCTCACCTTCTCTTTTGCCATTCACTCTGAAAAATTAAAGCGATTATCACTTCCTCTTAGTCATCCTAGGATCTTTCTCAAAAGCATTCGGAGTTTTAGAGACACTCATTCTTCCTCCCAGTGCTCCAGGAGGATGACGTCACAGCTCCCCAGCCCCATTCTTCCCAAACGGTCATGGGGGTGGAGGAAGAGACAACTTGATCATCCAAGGGCAACAGAAAAGACACAGACGATTCAAAAGCACAATGATTTATCCTAGGACGCTGTACTCTTCTGCCACATTCCTTTTTTTTTTTTTTTTTTTTTGTAAGCAAGGAGAACTTTTACTTTTTTAGTTGACAGATAAACATTGTAGGCATTTATGGTTTATGATGTGATAGTTTGATACACCTGTATGTTGTGGACTGGTTAAATCAAGCTAATTAATATATACGTTATCTCACGTACTTATCATTCATTGGTAGTGAGAACACTTAAAATCTACTCTTAGTCTCCTTATTTTCTTCCGGGGCTGGGGATCAAACCCAGGGCCTCATGCATCCTAGAAAAGGGCTCTACCACTGAGCTACCTCCCTAGCCCTCAAATCTACTCTCTTATCAATTTTCAATTATTTTTATGAGTAACTATAGTCACTGTATTGTACACTAACTCTCTTGAATTACTCCTAGGTCTAACTGAATTTTTCTGTTCATTGACCAGCATCTTCTGTACCCCAACCTTCATTTTTCCTTTCTGCTCCACCAGTCCTAAGGCATTTTGGCAGGGTTCAGAGGGTACACTGCAGAGTGAGGGAAGGAGAAAAGAAGTCGTGCACTCCCCAGTTTAATTTGTCCATTCAGTCATCAGTGTCCAGATAATTGAAAGCCTGCCGTTCTTCCCCCACCTCACAGACAGGAGTGCTCACTAAGTAACTGTATCACCAGCCTCCATTCTCTGGGGACTGGATGTCCAGTGCTAAGTGACATCAGGCCACTCTGTCCCAGGTCTCTGACAAAGCCTACTTTTTTTCCCTGCCAGTGCGAGGACAGCAAGGTGGATGCCCTGGGGGAAGCCCTGCAGACCACGGTCAGTCGCTGGAAGTGCAAGTTCTCAGCCCCCCTGCCCCTGGAGCTCTACACTTCCTCCAACTTCATTGGCCTCTTTGTGAAGGAAGATAGTGCAGAGGTCCTCAAGAAGTTTGCTGCTGACTTTGCTGCAGAAGCAGCATCCAAAACTGGTGAGCACATACAGCCAAGCACTGGGCCCTGAAAGTTGAGTATTTAGGAAGGATAGGGATAGGAAATGGTTGTTAAATTAGTCAGGTTTCTGTTGTTATGACAAAATACTTATGATGACTAACCTAAAAGGAGGAAAGATTTTGTTTTCTTTGACTCATGATTCTAGACGTTTCAGTCCATGATCTCTTGGGTTCCATTGCCTTTGGGTCTGTCACAAGGCTGAACATAATGGCAGAGGGCATGGTGAAGTAAAGCTGCTCACCTCATGGCAGACAGGAAGCAAAGAGAGAGAGGACAGGACTGGGATCCCAATATCACTTCAAGAGTTTGCCCCCAATGACCTAACTTCCTCCCACTAGGCTCCACCTCCCAAAAGTTCCACCACCTCCTCATAGCACCTCAGGCTAGCAACCAAGCCTTCACCACATGGGCTCCAAGGGACATAGGAGATCCAAATCATAACAGTTGTACAGGAGCAGGCTGGAGGTAGAAGATGGAGGGCCCCGAGGGCATGGGTGAACCCTTCTGCTATTACAAAAATGTTAAACTTCTGCTCTGCTAACCTTGTAGAGAGGCTTCCCAAGACTTACTCCCTGACACTAGGTTGAAAGTACACAGTGACTATTCAGCACAAACTATACGTTTATCCTTTGTAGCACCACCAAGTCCTCCCAGTTCAGAACGAAGGAACCTTTTCTTTCTCCCAAACTCCCTGCCCAAACAGGTGTTTATCTGGGTCTGACCATTCACTCTCTACCATATGGCAAAGAATGGAACCACTTCCTGGTTAATCATGATAAAATCCATTGATCCAACACCCTTCAACTTGGTGAACCCCATTAGAAAGGCCTCCAAGTCTCAAAAGATAGTGCCTTTGAGATATCTCCTGCTCTTTTCATGGCAGTTCTTAGTTCAAGACAGCTAAGCTTCCTGCCAAAGGAATCAGTTTACAGAGGTGCCCAGGGGTGTGTTGACAAGAGGGACAAATTTACAAAGTTCTCCTGACTTCATCTGCTCCCTTAGCCCCAGTGGCTAAGATAAGGTAGTAGGATGGACAGACAATCCACTGGGCAAGGAGCTGCTGTTGGCTCCATGCAGAATGAAATCACAACCAGCAGGTATTCATTGGGTATCTACTGTGTGTTTTTCCATGAGGAAGACAATAGAAAAGAGAATAGGAAGTGGTTTATCCCAGTCAGAGGCACAGGTGGGAAACCAGATTCAGGCACTACGTGAAAACAGAGCACTGAGAAGAGTGGAATGGTTCCATTTTCAGGGAAGAAGGGAAACTGGGAAGGTGTTAGTCAGGAAAATGGAGGAAGGGCCCCTAGGGCAGGGAGTGAGGGATGGGAAGGTGGCAGGGGCACAGAGAGGGGAGGTGTGAGCTGCCTAGCTGAATCTGAGTGTTAAATACAAAGCTGGAAGACACCCACAGCTTGAGCCTGAGCAAAGCTACACAGTTTGCTCCTGAGTCCCCTGACTTTCAGGGATAACCTTGCCTGCCACTCCTCCTTTCTTTACCACTTGGATCCTCTTGCTCAGTGTCCCTTTTATCAGAAAAATCCCCAAATAGGGCTCTCCAGTCTCTAGGGCTACACGCTCACAACGCATCTCACTGTCACAAGGACCAGCAGGCCCTTAGACACTCTCTGGACATCAGAAGGGAGCCTCTTTACACTACCCCACTAATCCAGGCACCATTTTTCTGCCAGGCACTAGTCTTGGGTTTCTGAATTCAGTAGCACCCCACATCTCACAGGAAATGATTGTTTCAGAGAGACAGCATAACACAGAGGGAAATTATTTCCTGTCCTTATTCCTCAACCTCAAGGAAATGGCTTCTATTTTTTTTTTAGTGCTAGAGTTAACTGTTGTCAGAATCACCAAATCCCCACAAGAACCAACACCAATGTCGCAGCCATAAGACCCAAATCCTTCACAAATCAGAAAAACGGGTCTCAGCCAGGACTGCAGCAGGTTTTTAGAGCGCATATGGAATAACAGGGGCTCAGAGCCCTAGCATTCCACGTGGGAATGCGGGGGAGCCAGGTCCTCTTCAAGAATCTGCTGTCACTCTCTAAGAACTTGGAGGCCTGGTGTCTCTGCCCTTGTGCAGCCCTCTGGTGGTGATTTGGGGAACTGCGAGGCCCTGCCCAGTACAGCTGGTCCAGCGCTGAATTATCTAATGTGGAAAGCAGGTCATCCCCTAGAAATTATACTTTGGTCCTCTAGAGTTATCTGCACAGCCAGATTTCTTCACCAAGTAGATTCAGTGCCATTCTCCATTCCGAGTGGTTTAAGAAGACTCACTTGCGTACATTCATTCATTCAACAAGTATTGAAAACCAAGATAACACTCTGAATAGGGGCACAGTGTAAACAAGAGACAAATACCTGTCTCTTGGGACTTACCCCACAGAAATGCCATGCAGTATACCAGGAAAAGTCCTGGAAACCGAAAGTCCAACTTCTAGTTCTATGGCTGTTACTTCTGTATGATTAGACCAAGCCCTTAATTTCTTGAATTCCTTCATTCCTTCTAGTTGTATCTTCTTTGCCATTCTAGCATGGGAAGTAGACAGTTCTCCCTTGTTTGAAGTACAAAGGAGAAATAAAAGTCATTTCCTCATGTAGGTACACTTGTTTTGTTTTTCAGTCATACTTTAAATCGATAGTTTTCAACCAAGAGTGATTTTGCTCCCTTCTCCAGGGTACCTTTGGCCATATGTGGCGTCATTTTGGGCCGTTGTGAATAAGAATAGTACTAAAGTATCCACTGCTAGAGGCCAGAGATGCTGCTGAACACCTACAGTGCATAAGACCACTCCCTGCAACAAATAATTATTCTACCCCAAGTGCTGCTGAGAAACCCTGCTTTAAACTTCGAACATGTCCTCCTTTCTCCATCAGACTTACCTAGAAGCTCAGAGACTTTGACCCCAAGTGAAGGCAACATAACTTGGGAGTGACACAATTTCAAAACGGGCTCTGCAATTCATCTTGCCTTTAGGTCTCAGGTTGTTCACCTGGGTGGCAGAACCGGTAATGGTCACCTGGAGCTGTAGGGAGGAGGAGCCAACCAAAAGGATTAACCCCATCCAATCTAAAGCTCCTACAGAAAGGAAAAGCCATGTGTGTCACTCTTTATCTCTTGAGTAGTGGGGTGACTCAGGGTATAGTAATCATTGACTTTATTCTGCTGCTGTGAAAGAGGAAAACAGCTTTTCTTGTTTTGTTTTTGGTGGTACTGAGGTTTGAACTCAGGGCTTCATGTTTGCTAGGCAGGCGCTCTACCACTTGAGCCCTTTTTGCATGGGTTATATTGGATGTAGGGTCTCATTTTTTTGCCCAGGCATGCCTGGACCACGATTATCCTATTTTAAGCTTCCTGCTACTGCTGGGATGACAGGCGTGCGTCACTGCACCCAGTTATTGGTTGAGATGCGGGTCTTGCAAAACTGGCCTGCAACCACAATCCTCCTCATCTCAGCCCCCCAACTAGCTGGGATTTTAGGCATGAGCCACCTGTGCCCAGTGAGAAACATCTTTTCTCTAACCAAGGGTCTTGCTTCTTTGTTATTTGGGAAGCAAAACTCTTTTCTATGCTGTTTCTTATATCTCTACCCTTGCTGTGATTTCTTCATTCTAATCCCTGACTTTTTCCTTCCTTTTTTTCCAGAAGTACATGTGGAACCTCATAAGAAGCAGCTGCATGTGACCCTGGCTTACCACTTCCAAGCTAGCCACCTACCCACCCTAGAGAAACTAGCTCAGAACATCGATGTCAAACTGGGGTGTGACTGGGTGGCCACCATATTCTCTCGGGATATCCGTTTTGCCAATCACGAGGTAATGTGTCACTGCAGCTCCTGATGCTACCAGGTGTGAGGTGCAAGGAGAACCAGGAGCAATTGCTGCTAGCCACTTCAGGGAGTTGGGAACCAGAAGGGAGTAACTAGGGGAGTGACTAAATGAGCAGCCAACCTGGAAGCAGTTGGTTCCAGATTTTTTCCAGGTTCTAAGGACTTCCTGGGAGGTTCTGAGCAGGCAGCCTTCCTCTTTGACTCCTAAGTGGTCCACCTAGGTTAAATCCCCATGGTTCTGTCTTCCTGACAACTTTACCAGAGGGACACTCAGAAATAAAATAGTGAATCAATAGACAATATGGTGGGGAAATTTTTAATATCATATAAATTTTGATGTTGATAGATGACATAACCCTGACAGGTGAATCGAAAAACATAATTTTCAAAAAATTGCAAAGTCATAATCAATAGCTATTTGCTGATGTGTATGACCAGTAAAGCACCATGGAGCATGCTAGAATTTTTTAAATGTTGTCCTGCCCTCAAGGAGCTTTGAGTTCAGAGGGGAGAAAGGACAGATGAAAAGAAAACTTGGGAAGAGGTTTGGGAGAGTTCATGTATGTCACATTGGGAAGCATGAGTAGGACAACCGAATCCTAGTGCAGACAGACAACTGGTCCATCCTTCTTTTGAGGGAATCAGCTTTGTTTTCCAGTCAAGAACATGTCATCTCAGAAGCATATGTTGTCCCTTTTATCCTGAAGGAGAGCCTAAGAAGCAGAGATTAAGTGTCTGGTCCAAAGCTACAGAGCAGTTGAGGACCAGGGCTAAACTCAGAGCCCAAATATTTTGACCACTAAGATGGGCACCCCATGTAAAAAAAGACCACATACAGTAATCCATTTTTATCCTCAGTTTCCCTTTCTGTGGTTGTTTGTTACCAGAGGTCAGTCACAGTCCAAAGATATTACATGGAAAATTCCAGAAATAAGTCATAAGTTTTAATAACTTCTTTTTTTTTTTTTTTGTGGTATTAGGGCTTGAACTCAGGCCCTTCAACTTGAGCCACTCCACCCCTATTTTTGTGATGGGTTTTTGTTTTTTTTTTTTTGAGATGGGGTCTCGTGGAACTATTTGCCTGGGCTGGCTTCAAGCCACTATCTTCCTGATCTCTGCCTCCTGAGTAGCTAGGATTACAGGCGTAAGCCACGGGCACCTAGCTAGATAACTTTTATTATCGTGTATTGTTATTTTTTTCTATTCTATTGTTAGTTACTGGTCCTATTCTATAAATTAAAGTTCATCATGGCTATGCATGAAAAAAAACTTAGCATATATAGAGTTTGGTATTATTTATGACCTCGGGCATCTGTGGGAGATCTTGGATGAATCCCCCGTGGATAATGGAGGATACTCTACTTAAATGAAAATTTCACCTAAATTCCAATTTACTACATTTATTAAGTGATACTGACACGTGTTTCCCAAATTTTCAACAGCAAACAGATTTTTGGTAGTTTCTGTAGTCTCTTTTAGGCTTTCTTAACTTTCTTAACTCAAAAAGCAGATAGTAGCTCCTCTAGGGGCTGTGACCAGGCAACCCCATTGTTTTGGAAGTGTTGGGAAGGACCAACCCATGAAGCAAAGCTCTAGGGCGAGGTGTGGTGCTCTGGGAAGGTCGGGTGCACAGTTTTATTGACTTTGCTGATGGGAGTGTCGGGTCCTCCTTGAAGGCTGCGGTAAAGACAGATTAAGCTGAGTAGATCTGATCTTACTTAAGAATTCTGGCATCTAACTAAGGATGAGCCCTAAAGATAACAAGAGAGGTGTGGCTGCTTGGACTCTTTCTGAGGACAAAGGAGAAAAAAACAAAAAAAAAAAAGTCAAGGGTTGCTGGCAGATGGCCTCTGAGAAGTCACCTTTCCAAGAGAAGAAAGTGGCAATGGAATTTTACCAACACAACTTCTAATCAACCCTGCCCTCCAGTTAAATCAAAGGGTAATTGCTTTCTGCCTGACCCACATTCTGCTCAATTGCACAGAAGGAAAGAGGCAGCAAGAGCCCACATGAATTATTTTCTAAAAATAACTTGGCCTCTTTTATCTCTTATTTGTAAAAGCCCTATATTACGGTTCCTTCTGATAAAGCCCTCGGCCCCTTTCCCCTCTCCCTGAGGGTTTTTGGTCCTACCCCTCTATATCCTGATAAAGCCCTCGGCCCCTTTCCCCTCTGCCTGAGGGTTTTTGGTCCTACCCCTCTATATCCGTGAAGCTCTTGCCTTCCTCCCTCTTCACTCTGTCCCCAGGAGGCCTGCTTGATTGCCTGTTCCGACCATGAAACAAATGCCCAGAGAAGGAGACTAGTTTAGACAAGGACACTCAGCAAGGACCAGCGATGCAGCCCTCTGCTGTTTTAGATTCTCAGGTGATTTGGACTTGCAAATGCCCATTTGTACTTCACGGGCTCTTCCACATGACACTGGGCCATACCACATATTTGCTAAGCTATAGAAATCTATATGAAGGACCAAGTTCTAAAAAAAAGCATGAATTTTGGAATCGAACAGTCCTGGCTTCAAGTCCTGGCTCCCTCACTTTTGTAGTCATTAGGTTCATTTAACACCTTGTACAACTCTCCAGTTCTTTGTTTTCTCATCTGTAAAATGGAGATTTTTCCTCAACGGTTGCAAGGACAACAGTCCTTTACGCAAAGCTGCTAACATAATGCCTGGCATGGGCAGTGCCACAAAGAAATTGCTGCAGCTATTATTTTTCCATCAAAGGCCATGCAAATCAGTCCCTATTATCACCCAGGGCTGTAACCACCCTTCAGTCAGCCATCTTGGAGTTTAGCCTCTGTGTAGTGACAGAGGAAAATCAGACCTAAGATTGATTCAAGAATTCTTTTTGTTTTTTCAGTACTGAGGATTAAACTCAGGGCCTCACCCTTGCTAGGCAGGTGCTGTACCACTTGAGTCACATACCCAGCCCTTTTTGCTGTGGTTATTATTGAGATAGGGTCTCTCTTTATGCCCATGTCAGCCTGGAGCACAATCCTCCTATTTATGTATCCATTGGTTGAGATGGGGAGGCATCTCACAAACTTTTTGCCCAGGCTAGTCTAGAACCTTGATCTTCCCAATCTCTGTGTCCCCAGTAGTTAGGATACAGGCATGAGCCACCATGCCCAGAGGTTGACTCAACAATTCTTATAAGCAGATGCCAAACATAAAACACAAGAATCAGTACAAACTACATGCCTGTCCTGATCTCCCTCACTCTTATGCTGAGTGCTTGTATCTGATTTGGGGAAGTGGGAAAGGGCCAGGAGCACTTGGGTCCCAGTCATTTTATTTATTTGTTTATTTATTTATTTTTGGTGGTGGAGATTTAACCTAGTGCCTGTAACATGCCAAGCACACACTCTACCACTAAGCTACACCCCTAACTCCCCAGTTATAATATTAGATTTGCTATAATACCTTAATTCTTATATTGGTCATTCAGTAAGTCAAAGCCACCTATTGTCCTACTACTCCATGCACACATTATCTCCAATCTTTGCTGATCCTTGAGCTTCCCAGGGAAATCTAGAGACGTAATACACAAGTCTCTGCGTGATGGGATGAATGAGGTGTTCTCTGAGCTGTCTTGAGCTTTTCCAAGGGAACACTGCACTGGGCCAAGAAATTCTGAGCCAAGACTGGGCCGCCCATGAGTATCTGAGGAATACGAGTTTTGACGTGTTTCCTTATGACTCTCTGCCTCCCTCCACCCTGTTTCAGGAAAAGGAATTTTCTCGCCTCAGATCATCACATACCCAGCTCTGATATTTAAGAGCTTTCTTGTGAATTTTTTTGTCTTTTTAAGAAAAAAAAATTATCAGCCCAGCACAAACCCTTCCTGGTTGGTTTGGGAAAGTGGTTTGTATACAGAGGCAGAGAGGCGGGAGAAGGAGAAATGAGGTCAACAGAGATGAGGGAGCTCTAGATGCTGGAGTAAGAATTAGGGAAAGAGGGATGGAGGTGGGGTTTCAATGGTAAAGCACCTGCTTTGCAAACCTGAAACCCTGAGTTCAAATCCTAGACCCATCAAAAAAAAAAAAAGAATTAGGGAAAGAAACTGGCACCCTACATAGAAATCCAATGATGCAAATTCCTCTGAGATAAATCACATTTTCATGACTCTTCTCATTAGAGACTTCTGGAAGGAAATTTTTAGTGGTATGTTCCTTATACTAGCTCACAGGTCCACCCAGCACAGGGCCTGGGGGTCAGGATTGGCTGTAAGAAAGGACATCACTTAGAAGATCAGGCATCATATTTCACTAGGAATAATTATGCTCCTTCTGTGTACTGTGTACAAGGTGCAGTCCTAAGGCTTTTTTTGTTTCATTTTGTTTAGATTATCTTGTTTAACTTTTTTTTTAATTTTGTTTTCTAGTGTCTGATAGTTAAATAAGGGTTTCATCATGACAGTTCCATATATACATGTATTGATTCATTCCCTCCATTATTCTCCTTCATCCTCCCCTTAAAATGATTTCCACAGGCTTCAGTGTTCCATAGTCATACAGGTGTAGAAAATGCATCAGCCATGTTCACCCTCCTTTACCCTCTCCCACCCGCTAGTGCCTCTCCTTAACATGACCTGTTTCACATTCCTGTCCTTCCCTGTTCATTGTTGAGGGGAGTTTTGCCTCGGTATTTTACCTGTAAATATATTGTATTTTAATCCATCTAACCCCTCTATTACTCTTCTTTACCCTTTCCCTCATCTCTGTGTTGTTCACTAGTTTTTAGTGTGTTTTGGTGCATCTTGTTTCTACACAAATATGATGTATTTCAATATTATTCACTCCCTACTGTTCTTCTCTTCTTTTCCTCCTCCTTTAGTTTCCTCTAACAGTCCCACTTTTGGAAACATGTTCTGTGTGTGTCTGTGTGTGTGTGTCTGTGTGTGTAGATGATAATGCTTGTATTTATATTTAGATCTATCTTCCACATATGAGAGAAAACATGTAACCTTTGTCTTCTGAACCTGACTTACTTCTTAACATGATGTTCTTTAGTTTTATCCATTTACCTGTGAGTGACATTTCATTCTTCTCTATGGCTAAGTAATATTCCATTGTACATGTATGTGGGGGTATATATATATATATATATATATATATATATATATCATACTTTCTTAATCCATTCATCAGTTGTGTTTCTATAACTGGTTTATAGTGAATAATGCTGCAATAAACATGGATGTGCAAGTGTCTTTATTGTATCCTGACTTGCCTAGGAGTGGTATTCCTGCTGGAGCATATGGCCATTTTATTTTTAGTTTATTGAAGAGCTTCCATACTGTTTTCCATAGTGGTTGTACTAATTTGTGTTCCCACCAGCATTCTATGAGGGTTCCTTTTTCCCTGTGTGCTTGCCAATATTTGTTTCTGTTTGTATTCTTAATGGTAGCCATTCCAACAGTAGTGAGGTGGATCTTATGTGGTTTTGATTTGCGTTTTCTTGGTGGCCAGAATGGTGAGCAGTTCTTCATTTGGTCCAGGTGTTATTTTATGAAGAGAAAACAAAGGCTGAACAAAGCCAAAAATCTAAAGATGGAAACCAAAACATAGCCCATCACTAACAGCTTTGGGATGTTAGGAAAAGCTATGAAAGCATTCTCCATCTTGGTGGCCCTTATAAAGTGAGTAGGTTAAAGAATGTTTTCCTTCCTGTTGAGGTCTCCTGATGTGAATAAAAAAAAAAAAGTAAAACAAATGTTCTCTAAAATACCTTCAGGCCCATGGCTAAGATGTTTATTTACACCCGGACAGGGAGGCCTCCCAAAGTACAATAAATCCACCAAATGGCGCAGTCTTGTGGTTGGCCCTAGGGGCTTTTTCTGAGCTCAGAGAAGGAACATGTGATCTCCATCTGCTTGCCAATGGAAGCTGGTCACCCAGAGAGGCACACGCTGATGTCCAGGAAAAAACGGGGTCTATGAGAAAACTGTAGAATTAAAGAAAACGTCCTTGAAGGCAGGAACCATGTTATGCTCAAACAACTGAGTCCCATAGAAAGGGCAACCCTTCATTCCCAAGCCTTCCTATAGGAGCAATGGGCCATCTGGCCTATCTGCGGCCCCATATGGAAGACGCACTTTTCCATGAGGCGAGTTTCCCGAGTCTACTACAGTACTTACCATAGCAGATGGAGCAGGGAAAACTGGGTCCAAGTTCATGTCTATAGCAGTTGACTGGCGAGCCTACGAGCTTTCAGATGAGTCGCTAAAACCCATCTCTGAATCCCAGTGGAGGTAAAGACATGCCAGAAGGGAAGTCTGGAACAACCAGGAGCACCAAGCATGTGTCCACAAGACCCTGACAAAAGAAGTTCTTTTTGATCGGAATCCAGATCTGCTCAGAGCCTGAGGACCCCAGGGCTCTTGCACAAGTCACATGTAGATGTGCCCTCTACACAGGGTACACAGCCTCCTCCTGAGGTGCTCAAAAGAATGGGAGACATGGATTTCACACACAGTCTTCCTCTTTCAGACATTGCAGGTGATCTACCCCTACACCCCTCAGAATGATGACGAGCTGGAGCTGGTCCCTGGGGATTTCATCTTCATGTCTCCAATGGAGCAGACCAGCACCAGCGAGGGCTGGATTTATGGCACCTCCCTGACCACTGGCTGCTCTGGACTCCTTCCTGAGAACTACATTACCAAGGCTGACGAGTGCAGCACCTGGATCTTTCATGGGTAAGCAGACTCCAGGACCTCGACCTGCTGTTTTGTGAGGGACATTGCTGTAGCAGACTTTAGGAGGTGGTGGGGAAGGGGACTTGATCCCATGCTCAACTCAAACTCATACTTCCATGGGGAAGAAGACTGTGTTGGTTTTAAATTCCCAGAATACCAGTTGACTTGAGGCATGGGAAAAAGAGAAGAAAACCACTCTGCTCACTCTCCTGCCCCATTTCATGTCACCATCCGCCTGAGTCTCTGATCAGAGGCTAATCCAAGGCTTCCTGGCACTCCATCTCTGGCTGAAGGGTGGTATCCCCCAGTGCTGAGTCTGCACTGCCACAAGACTCTGCCTACCTTGTCCTGGGTATTTACTCCATGTGATCTGACTTCCCATAGCACCTAGACAGAGTCCTTCTGTATCAGCCAGAACAGTACTGAAAAGGAGACTCACAGGTCGGGAGCCCTCTCTTGCTGGTGACCCGAAGCAAGTCCTCAGACTTGGTACATGTATGCCTAGACAAGAGAGTCAGTCCAAACTGACAGACCACTGTCAGAACTGAAGAGGAGCACCCACTCCAGCCCAGTTCTTCTTTAGAGTGACAATTCTCCACCCATCTCTTACTCCTCTTTTCTCCCCAGTGCATGCTGGTCCATAGTCCAGCATGTCCAGAAAGGCCTGTATTGTATGGCCGGCTTTGTCTCAACATAAAAAGCAAAGGAACAAAAGGCACCTTTCTCTCTCCTAATCTGAGCAGCTGGAAGCCTGGCTCCCCTGGCACACTCAGCACCTACCAGGGTGCACATCCTGGCTTGTCTCTCTTCACTCTTGTTTTTGCCATGTGGCAACATAGCTGAGAGGTGGAAGCCCCAAGCTTTGTGCAACATAACGTGACTGATGTCTTAAGAGAGAAGCAGACATGGGTGATGTCTGCAAGTGTTTTGCCTCTAGGGAAAAAAGAAAAGAAGGTCCTCCGCTGTGGTGAGCAACTAGCAGACACACCACAAACCCAAAATGGAAAAGGGCATTTTCTTCCTTAATTACTCCCTGCTGGCAATTCCTGCCTCTGCCTTTGGTTCCACCTCAGCCCATGAACATCTGGTGGGGGAGGGTAAAAGTTGCCTCAAGTTCCCTAAACATTGCTTTTTCAGAAATGTTTCCAAAGATCTAAACTACATATTTTAGGTCTCCAAAGTCCCTGTTTTATCCTTGTAAAAATAAGTAAAGCAAAACACAGTTGTGTGCCTCATAGAATGCTTTGGTTAGTGGGATCCTGTGCATCACATTGCTTAGTGATGTCATAACAGCTTAGTTTAAGTTCACTCTGATGTTGCATGAGGCGAAATTACCCAGTGACACATTTCTCAGGCCATCTTCCCCATCATTAAGTGACACATGATGACATGTGTGAATAGACAGAGTTGAAAGATCACTTACATGATAAAGCACACCTCTTTCTTAAAAGTGGGTCACGTGTAGAAGAATGTACACAGAAGTCCTGCTAACTGGTATAAGATCCCTCCATCCAAACCCACTCTTCCCTGAATTATACCTCGAGCTGAAGCATGGGTGGTCCCAAGTGACTTCAGTCAGTGGATCACCAAATATCTGTGTGTCATCTGTCATTTTGAGAGATTACTAGTGATATTATTTCCTAGGAAATATATCTGACATTAAACTATCAACATTCACAGACAAAGAGTAGGGAAATATCACATTAGATATTGGGACATTGTGATTAAAATTTTGAGTTTTAGTTCCAATGCACTTGGATTCAAATCCTAACTCTCCCACTTACCAGCTGTGTGACCTTGACCAAGTTACATTACCTCTCTGAGCCTCTGCTCATCTAAAATGGAGAATTAGAATTGCACTTACTTCATAAGGTTGCTATGGAGACTGCCATAGAGGGCTTGCCTTTACACAGCTCCAGGCCAGGTATTCGACAGCACTGAATATACAATAGCTACTAGCTATTGATTATTCCTTTTTGGCTGTCTTTGTTTACCAGTCTTTGTTTACACGCTTATCCAATCAAATGTCTCTTCCAAAAAAGTGGTCCTGTAGATGAACTGATAACAACTTTGTTGTTTAAACCCCAGAGAGGGAAATGATTCCAGGAGGCAGAGCCCAGCTCCACTGTAGGATAGAACTTCTCAGCTTCTAACCAAAGATGCCCGGAGGGTTGGAGCACAGGGGAGGCTCCCACAAGACCCAGCTGGCTTGATGGGAGTCAGGCAGCAAGCAGAGACTCAGACAGTGGCATCCACAGGGCTCCCTGCCTGGTGCTTCTCAGTCCTCTGGGTCCCTTCTAAGGAAACGGTTCCCCTCAACGCTTACTGGACTGTGTCACCTGGCTCTGAGGGTCCCTGGGTGTTTGCCAGTTGATGAAGCCCTGTTGTGTTCTCTAAAGGAGGAGATGCGCTTCCAGGCCCTTCTGAGCCTGGCACAGCTGGTGTGTTACAGGGAGGAGCCAGCATCTTGCTTCTGGATGTCGGCCCTGCTCCCTCTCCACCCTGCTCTTGAACCAACAGCCCTACGTGGAGTTAGAGGGTTCAGCCTTAGATTCTCAGTGACAGTTAACAAGGGAAAAGCTGGTATTCTCCTCAAGGGAATTGCAGGGAGAGGAGAAGGGAGCCTGGCAATATCTTCCCAGTTGTGATAAAACAAAGAAATTAGAGAGATGTTAGCACGATTCCAGGGAGCCAGACATTTTGAGCCCTGAAGCTCAAGCCAGACAGGAAAACTGAATTGTCTTCAGTTGTGGGATGTTGGGAAAGGTCCCATTTTATGGTCAAAAAGGGGCCACTTCTGAGAGCAAAAGAGGTGTTAAAGTATTAAAATCGTAGAATTTTTTGGAAAAAGAAAATTTGCTAGCTAGCAGTTAGCGCAATGATCATGGGGATAGAAGAAGTTATTTTCTTGAGACAGGATCTCCCGTGTAGCATAGGCTGGACTTGAACTCGCACTCCTCCTGCCTCCACCTTCCAAGTGCTGGGATTACATACATGAGCCACCACACCCAACAAAAAGTTCTTTTCAAAAATAAAATTTGGGGGACTGGTAGAGTGGCTCAAGTGGTAATAATGCCTGCCTAACAAGCACAAAGCCCTGCGTGTTCAATCCCCAGTACCACCAAAAAATAAGTAAGTAAAAATGTAATAATGATACTGTATTAAAGGTGAATACCTAGAACAGGGCAACCTGGACAGGTTGTGGGGTCAACAGACATAAACCAGGACAAACTGGGACATACATATGGCTACCAAAATTGTAGAAATCTAAAATACAAATACTACCCCTACACAGATCCAGAGCGAGATGTTCACTGGGTCTGCCTAATCACCATATTTAAATTGCAGTGTTTGTTAGATAAAGCTTTTGGAGGTCTCACTATGCACAATAATTTAAACGTGGCATGTTTTGACAGTTTTCCCTTCAGCAAGATCTGTTTGGAGCTTCTGTAGTTACAGGGGTATGCTCAGAAATGAGAGCTCTTGGCTCACAGCTCTGAACATCTGGTGAGCGTTGTCTCCTCCAAAATAACTGTCTTTAATCATCTTGTTGAGGTGAACATAGGATTGAAGACTAACGAGGGCAGAGCAGAGGAGAATGGTCACAAAGTTTCTTAGCTCCTTAGAAGCCCTGGGCAAAGTGGTGGAGATGGTTTTTAAGAAAAAAAAAAAAAAAATCCTCCCTTTCATTCTTCAGATGGAAATTACCATGGTAAAGATGAAAGGCAATGGGAATTGTTTATTTCATTGGAACCATAAAAATAGCTGGAAACGTTGGTACATAATTGATGCCTCATTATTTTTTAACGTGTCTTTGGTGCCAGCCATGCCTGTGGCATCCTAATAAGCACAAAGTCATTGAACCTCATCCCTGCCTAGAGGGATGCTTGCATCTGTTCTCAGCACAGAGGTTCATCCGCCCATCATTCATTAACTGCAAGACTTCAGTATTCAGAAATATGTTCCTCCCCAGAGATGGGGTGCTCCCTGTTCACCTTCCCAACCACTGCTAATTCTCACACTCCTGTTGAGCCCCCGCACGCAGGGCTGGTGACTCCAAACCAAAGCAGTTAACATTTTCCTCATCTTCCGCTGCAGATCTTACTCAATCTTAAATACAGCATCATCCAACTCGCTCACATTTGGTGACGGAGTATTAGAGAGGCGGCAGTATGAGGACCAGGGACTGGGGGAAACGACACCTCTTACCATAATCTGCCAACCCATGCAGGTAAGGCTGACCGTGAGAGTCACATCCTCAAGTCTAATCAAGATGTGGTAAGAGCTGGGAGCTGGTGGGTCACACCTATAATCCTAGCTACTCAGCAGACAGAGATCAGGAGGATCACATTTCAAAGTCAGCCTGGGCAAATAGTTCCTGAGATCCTATCTCAAAAACACCCATCATAAAAAAGGACTGGTGGAGTGGCTCAAGGTGAAGGCCCTGAGTTCAAACCCCAGTACTGAGGGAAAAAAAAAATGTGCTGATAACACATTTATTAAATATCAGCATTGCCTTTCTGCCACAAAGGGCCCCCCATCTTGTCAGGGAGAAGGTACAGAAGACTATGCAACCTACATAGACATTCAAGGATAGAAAGAATCAGCTGAGTGTGTCTGACCGTGACCAACCAGCATCTGAAACCGGACTGGGAAGGAAGGCCATTCCGGGCAGAGGAGAGATTTTTCTCCCTAAAGTAGGAATAAGGCCTACAGTTGAATCTGTTTTGTAGGTTGTGAAGAATAAAGTATACAATAAAATAAGGCTCCAAGCGCAATAGTTCATATATAGTGAGTTCTCAATATATATGAACTTTCCCAAGAAAAGTTGGAGATGAGGTGAGGGGGGTATTTGTTTAGCAGGACGAAAACACAGGGTTCGTTCTGCATGCTGAGGATGGAGAAAGAGGGACACTTTGTTTAGAGTCCAAGGTTTGAATTGGGGAACAGTGAGAAAGCAGATGGCAAAGTCCACAGACACCAAAAATCCACGCATTAGCATTGGCAGAGTATCTAGCAGCCCATGGAAAGTGCTGGCTAACGTGGACCTGGCAGCATTAAGCAAACTGGGAACAACTAATGCTATCAGAAAGAAGGATCAGGAAATATCTCTGAGTTTCCACCAGCAGCTATAGAAACCAAAGTCCTTTGGACTTGCCTTTGACTAGACCTGTCTATTTCATCACTCAGAGACAGCCTCTGTCCTCTCTGAACCCTTTCTGGAAACACCAACAAGTACAGAGTCAGACAGCAGTGCCCACATGGCAATTAGAACATGCAAAGCAGGACCTCACTGCAGGAACAGTGGTTATAAAATAGCCATGAGACTTACAGCTGTTCCCTGAAGAAGCTGATGAGGCATCCTCTGGGGGAGTGATCCCACTAGACGACTATCACCTCATTAATGGCTGTTTTGACCTCTGAACTGCAACTCAGGTGGCCCTCATGTTTTGCAAGTGGCCAAATGCTACTCCTAAGAAAACAGCAGCAATGATAACACCACTGTCACAACTCTCCTTATTTCATAAAGCACCCAGAGTTTGTCTCATTTGAGCCTCAGAATAGCTGGTGAGGTCTGTAGGATAAGTCTTACCAACCTCATTTTACAAATAGGCCAACCCTATCCCAGGCAGTCCTGTCCAAGTCATATACGTTGGCAGCACTTGTCCTTGAGCTCAGCTCACCTGGCTCCAGGACACATGTACTGTGCCATGTGTGTCCTCGGTGTTCACTTTTCCTTCTCTGCAGCCCCTGAGAGTCAACAGCCAGCCCGGCCCCCAGAAACGATGCCTCTTCGTATGTCGGCATGGGGAGAGGATGGATGTTGTGTTTGGGAAGTACTGGCTGTCCCAGTGCTTTGATGCCAAAGGTGAGTACAGTACAGCTCCCCTTATTCATCGTTACCCACAGTTAACCATGGTCTAAAAACATTAAGTGAAAGATTCTGGAAACAAACAATTTCTAAGTTTTCTATTGCACTCCATTTTGAGTAGTGTGATGAAATCTCAAGCTGTCCAACTACATCCTGCCAGTACCCTTTGTCCAGTGTATCCACATTGTGTATGGTACCCACCTGTTGGCTACCCACTAACCATCTTGAGTATCAAATCTTTTATCACAGTGCCTGTGTTCAAGTCACTCTTACATAGTAGCCTACTGCTATCTCACTGCCCCCATCATTTGCCACACTTCACCTCATCGTATCATTCACATCATCAGAAGAAATATGAGTACAGCAGAATAAGATAGTGTGTGAGAGACACCACTCTCACATAACTTTTATTATAGTGTATCATTATAGTTGTTCCATTTTATTATTAGTTATTGCTGTTAATCCCTTCTATGCCTGATTTAAGAGTTAAACTTTATTATATGTATGCTTGTACAGGAAAAAACATAGTGTATACAGGGTTCAGTATTATCTGTGGTGTCAGGCATCCACTGGGGGTCTTGGAACCTAGCTCCTTCCTGGAAGGGGGACTACTGTAGTTGGTTGGTCTGCTCAGCTCTGCATACCCATCATAACCCGTAGGGGGCGTAGTCAAGCTACCTTTATCTACATGGAGTCATTGATGGGTTTGAATGCTGAAGAAAATGACTATAATCTGTAAATCCTTCTTGATTGCTTTGAGTTTTAAGCAAGAGATAAATGTTCTTGTCCTCATTCTATAATCTGAGGCACCCATGGTCATATAGCAAAGTCACTTTCAGAGATATGATGTGATTCCATGACCAGAGTTCCCTTATTAAATTGCCCTGGGTCATCTGTTTCCATTGTCATTTGAGTGACATTCTAAGGTAGAGAGGCTTGCCTGTCAGAAAATTCCACTTCCTCAGAGTATCTGGTTGTTATTTTCACTTAGAAACTATCTCTTGTCACTTTTGTCAGCAGAAGGAAAAGTGGATTCCAAGTCAGTCTACTGGAGAAGATGTGTTAGATTCAATATTTTCCATCAGCTCCAGAGAGTTCAGGCTCAGTTCAAGAAGCAGGGGTGTCAGAGTCAACAAGGGAAATCCCAGGGAAACAAGGAATTCACAAGGCCTCTGTCTGATCTTTTGTTTCCAGGCCGCTACATACGCACCAACCTGAACATGCCTCACAGCTTACCTCAGCGCAGTGGTGGCTTCCGAGATTATGAGAAAGATGCTCCAATCACCGTCTTTGGATGTATGCAAGCCAGACTCGTGGGTAAGTGTCCTGGAGCGACTGCACAGTGTTTCCTGGCTCCTTCTTCCAAAGACTGGTATGCCTGAACACTTCCTGGAGCTTCTATAACTTTCCTACCTGTGATTATGTATCCTCAATTCAAAAGGGACTTAATATACTGTTGTGGCAATATTGTCAGAGGAGAAACCAAGCAACACTCGGAGGAGTGGAGAACTCAGATTTTAATTTTTACGCTAGCGGGCCCAGACGTGTACCAGTGTCTGAGCCCCAACAAAGGATTCACAGGATATTTAAAAGGCAGTGCAGGGTATCAGGTTACAAGGAATGTGCTCTCCCATAAAGAAGGGCTAGTAGTGGGTTCGAGACCTAAGGTTTAGATAAGAGCAGCGGGGGAGGTCTGCTTTGGAAAGTTTATTTACAAGTGGAGACAAAGGAAGGCAGGAATGGGTGCTTATCTCTGCATGGTGCCTTTCATCTTGGTCCCAAACTTTTGCATGGCTCTAATGGGCAATTCCTCACAGCTCTGTCCGAGGTTACAGCTTTTAATTGACAGTTTACCATGTTTTACAACCCTGTTTCAAGGCTATCTTCCTCTTCAGTACAGCCATTAGGTTCAAGATACTGGCTTGGTTTATCAAGGTGAACAAGATGTGGCCTTTGTGGAAGAACGTGAGGGGGAAGGGCAGGTTTACTTATATCACCGTGTGGCACATGGGTCAGCTTCTAGTTTGGGACAGTAGCATCTGCTGACATGGCCGAAAGAAGAGGGCAAAGGTGGGGAAGAAGGGATTTAGAAATTGCTGAATTTACAGAGGCCAATTGATGCTTTGAAGATGCCCGCTTCTTCACAGACTTATTCCATACCAGCCATGCAGAGACAATGCCTTGTCGTGCTAGGTCATTTAACAGATGTTTATTGTTCATTCATTTTGTGGAAGTTACACTGTGTTAGGTGTTGGGAACCCAAGTGTGAGTACCCAACCTCAGGGAACCACACTTCTATGTGGATGAATGTCACACTATATGGTATACTGAATAATAAAGCTGTGCCCAGATCATTAAGAGAACACACACACAAAGAAAGACATACTAGAGGAAAAGAAAGGTCAGTTGAGTAAAGGAGCAGGAGGGAGAAAAGAGCATTCTCAGTAAAAACACAATACAAACTAAGTCATAGAAATAAGAAGGATCAAGAGAACAAGGAGCCAGGCATGGTGGTACACATCTGTAATCCCAGCTACTTCGGAGACAGAGATTTTGAGGTCACTCTCAATAAATCAGCTGGACATGGTGGCATGCGCTGTATTCTCAGCTTCTCAGAAGGTAGGAGGATTATAGTCTGAGGCCAGCCCTAGTCAAAAACGAGACACTACCTAAAGAATAACTCAAGCAATAAAAGGGCTGGGGGTATGGCTTAAGTAATAGAGGGCCAGACTAGCAAGTACAAGGTCCTGAGATCAAATTTCAGTACCAGAGGGCAGGAGGAAAAGAGAGAGAGAGAGAGAGAGAGAGAGAGAGAAGCGGCAGCAAGGTGGAGGGGGGGATGGAGTGAGGAAGGAAGACACACAGGGGAACCAAGTGGTCTTGCTTCTAGAGTATAAATTATGAGGCAGGGCAGAGATGAGGCTGGGAGATGGATAAAGAGAAGTTTACAGGAAACTTTGATGACCCTATGAAGGTGTTTGGAGTTTACCTAGTAGAGAAAAGAAGTGGGTTTCATGGAGAAAGCAGTGAAGTATCAGATGTTGGAACTTATCTCTGGCATCCAAGCATATGACCAGGTGAGATTTGGGTAAGCACATAGTGAATTTATAGCAAGGTCAAATTTTCACAATACAGAGCCTGTCCCCTCTGTCACAAGGTACTGGTTGCAGCAGTATCCCCTTTGAAGTCAAAGCATTATCCTGTTTCTAGGTCTCTTCTAGGAGGACATTTTCCCCTTGTCACAAAAGAGAAGGAAAAAAAAAGACAAGAAGACACCATTGCTTGACCTTTTCCACAGAAACACTGATGAGGGCTTTATTGATAAAAAGGCAGAGAGTACTGACTCTGGGAGCCCACTAAGAAAGAGAGGTTTGGCCAAGTGCCAGTGGCTCACACCTATAATCCTAGGTACTTGGGAGGCAGAGATCAAGAGAATTGCAGTCAAGGCCAGCACAGACAAATAGTTCACAAGGTTCTATCTCTAAAATACCCAACACAAAAAGGGCTGGCAGAGTGGCTCAAGTGGTAGAGCATCTGCCTAGAGTAAGGCTCTGAGTTCAAATCCCAGTACCACCAAAAAAGAGGTGGGGGTTATGTGGTGTGTTTGGCAACCCATTCCATTGAGGGTCAAGCTGAGGCTGGGTATATCTATGAGATGGATTTTCCTTTGATCTTTTGCAGGGGAAGCCTTATTAGAAAGCAACACCATAATTGATCACGTCTATTGCTCCCCATCCCTACGCTGTGTTCAAACTGCACACAATATCCTGAAAGGTGAGATTCTCAGGTTGACAAAAGTCAACCAGTCCATCCCTCTGTCTCTGCATACCTAATTTTCATAGATTTAGGGGATAGACATCAATCAAAAGCTTTTAATCTGGAATTTTTTGCAAGGATTCGTTTACAAGATGACAAGCCTTACACAAGTCACAAAATCATACTTCGACAGCATAAAACAGATAAAAGAAAGTATACTAAGATTTTTTTTTCCTGAGAATTTAAAGCTATCTGGGATAGATTGTAAGATTGCAAAATACTTGTCACTTAGAGAGCAGTGGTCCTTTCCTTGCATTTAAATATGACTGCTTAAGTCATTATAGTTTTACCTGGCTTTAGGCACTCCTGGGAGTCTCTGATCATAATCATCCCAGTTTCTTTAGTTAATTGGAAAGACTTTAAAAGCATCTTTGCTATAAAAATACTCAACTTCCATCCTAACATCCATGCAAGTTTGCATTAGAAGGATTTCCATTCTCATTTTGTTGAAAGCAAAACTGAGAAAAACAGAGGTAGACTGTGTACTTGAGACAGAACAACAACAAAACAAAGGAGCCAGAAATAGACAAGTCAACAAAGAATTTGACACTGTACTTGACCCTTCTAATCTTTAGCTTTAAGTAACCCTTGCCTTCACAACCCAAACGCGTTTATGTATTGAACTTGCACAGAGGTGCTGCGCTAAATGCAAGAGAAAGAGAGTTAAGTTTATATAACTGAACAATTCCTTCGCTGAGAGCAATCACACTACAATAAAACACAGGCTTGTGCAGTGATACTGGCAAACTTAGATTTTTCTGATAGATAAAATGAATTATTTCCATGATATTCAAATATGGTATAAGCTATTGTATAGTAGGGAATGTAAGAGAATATCTGAAGTTTTTGGTAAGGCAATCATGAAATTCACTTTAGAAGCAGAAAGTATAGTAGTCAAAGAATTGGATAAATTATATGGGCAATGACTGGTGGAGCTTTCCCCCTTTAAATCAGACACTGATTAAAGCCAGAATATCTTGTGGAGGTGTGGTAAAATACAAAAATTATAAACCTTGTCCAAACTCATATGCCTCGACTTTCCTTTAGTTCTAGTGGAAAGAGAATAACTGACTTAGAATTGTTGCAACAATTTGACCTGTGATTTATTTTTCCACTGGAAACATGACTGGCACTCATTTCATTTCATTTTTAAGGTTTACAACAAGACAGTCACTTGAAGATTCGTGTCGAGCCAGGCTTATTTGAGTGGACAAAGTGGGTTGCAGGTAGCACATTACCTGTCTGGATACCTCCATCCGAGTTAGCCGCTGCCAATCTGAGTGTTGATACAACCTACAGGTAATCTCCAAAAGTGCTCCACCCAGAGGCCAAGGCCAGGGTGGAGTCACTTCCTACACTGTCACCAGGCCAAGTAACCAAGCAGGCAAAGGGCTAGGCATAGCCTACAGGCAGTCGTCCATAGTGGTGGAAATCAAGTTATGATTTAGAAAACAAAATCTGGGGAAAGTCAGGCATCTGTAACGTTAGCCACTTGGAAGGCTGAGATCAGTAGGACTGCAGTTCCTAGCCAGCCTGGGCAAAAAACAAAAAAGTTTACAAGATCCCATCTCAACCAATAGTTGGGTGCAGTGGTGTGCAGCTGTCATCCAAGCTACACAGGAGGCTGACGTTGGGAGGATCACAGTTTCAGGCCAGCTGGGCATGTAAAGTTTGTGAGACTCCATCTCAATGGAAAAAAAGCTGGGTATGGTGCCTGTCATCCCACCAATGGTGGGACATATAAAATAGGAGGATCTCAGTCCACGCTGGCCTAGGCAAAAAGGAAGACCCTATCTCCAAAATAACCAGAGCAAAGGGCGTCCCAAGTTGACCTCAGAGTTCTCCGGAGTCATCCTAGCTGAGTGTTTCAGTGCACACCAGACATACAACCAGCTGCACACATCTCATCAGCTGTGCAAGCAGAAGGATGAACGCTGGGAACTGGGGAGTCAGGACATGGTCCTATTCCAGATTTGCTTTCCTTTTCAATAAATCAAAATTCAATCCAACCATTTTCTGTTGGTGGGATGGGAGGATGAAGCCTCTAATTCTGTAAGTCAGTTGAGAAAGCCAGAGCTAAAGTATGTGAGAGACACAGGCCTGGAGTTAAACTCCCCATGAAATTAATGATGCCAAATGAACAGGCCTTTTGAAGCAAGTCAGTGAAGCCCAAAGGACTGAAGGCACATGATGAAGAGAGAGCCTGAGAGCAAGAGTCGTACGAGTCAAGCATACTCTATTAAAGAGTCCTCTCACCTTGCAACAGGGGCCAACACAGAAGAGGAGGGAAGGGGCCAAAACCAACTTAGGGGAACTTACTAGGCTAGTGACTCAGCTCTAAGCACCATCCACTGGCAACAAGACTAGTCAGGAGCTGGGGGTAGAAAGCAGCCCCAATCTCAGGGAGCTGGGCCAGTACAGCAAGGCAGAGAACCAAAATGCATACCAACTGGGCAGGACTTCAGAACAGAGAACATGTTCCTGACACGTGATAGGGGGATGGGGAGCAGGGGACTCAGGGAGTTTGTGAATCTAAAGTACTGGATCCACACTGGTGGGCACTGGGTGGGCTCAAGACAAGCCTGCACTGCAGCCTGTGTCAGGGCAGATGGGAGTAGAGAGTGGACAAGGGAGAATATTGTTCCCTACAAACCTAGAGTACTGAGTACTGAGTTCCAGGTCCAATGTGTGCTTGGAAGCCCACCTGACTCTGAGAACAGTACAGGGCTCCAAAACAGAGAGGTCCAGCACTAACAGGTGGAGACTCCTGTCTTGACCCAGCCCCAGGGTAGATTGTGAGATTCAGAAGCCTGTTCCCTACAAGAAACTTGCATACTGAGAGGCTAGATTAAGATAGGGTTCCCCCAAATGGAGTGGTACCATCCTTCCTCTCTGGACAGCAAGCTCAAGTGCACAGAAAAACAGTCTTGATGCTCAGAAGTTGTCAAGTGTGAAGGAGCAGCTCACAGGTGAGATCTGAGACTCAGATTCAGATCTAGACTGAGAGTTGCTAATGTTGTGAGCAAGTCATTTGTGGCCTTTCTGAGCCTGTTTTGTCGTCTAGAAACTTGGAATTCACAATAGTGTTGCTGGAAGACTCCAGGCGGGCTCTTGCCCAGAGCCTGATACATAGGAACCTCTCAGTAACTATTTTTAATACTAATAGAGGTAGTAGTAATGTATTCTGGTCAAGATGCCTTATGAATTTACTTTGAGAAATCAACACTGTGCACATCAGGCACCAAACACCCAGCAATGAAAGACGCAAAAAGAAAATAGAAAATTTAAAGAATGTAGTTGCACTCAAAAACAAGAAAAACATGTGTGGACCAGAAATTCCAAAAAAAAGTAAAGAGGATAGAAGTATGCAGAGGCAAGTCCCATGGGCATTGGTGACTGGTCACCAAGACAGGTGCTTTGATCCTCCTGTTAATACCTTTCCAGGTTATGTTATAATTATCATTTTCATCAATAGCCTCCCCACATGGTCCACATAGAGAAGTCTTCAAGCATAGAAACTTCATCTTTTTGTTCCCAGGGCTTCTAGTGCCAGGTGTGTGGTCTGGGTTCAAAATAAGAGGGAAAGAGAAAGAAAAGGCTGATGGAAATTTTATTAGCTCACAAATCAGATGGACTAAATATCTACTTTTAAAACCTATCCTTGCAGTTTATTGTGCATTAGGCTCCTGAAGAGAAGCCTGAGGCGTTTGCTGGTCATCTAAATAGATATAATCTCTGCCTTGCTTCCTGTTAGCTATGTGATTAGGACCATCAACAACCAATGGTCAGAAAAAAAAAAACAAAAAACAACCAATGGTCAATAAAAGTAGTCAAACTGCTCCTGTGTTTCCCTGTGGGTAAAATGTGCACTGAATGTATAATTTTTAAAAAGGTCACTGTGACACCGAACCTACGACCTTTATTTGTGTACATTTCAACTCCATATCCATATAGTAGAGACACTCTTCCCTGTACCTCCCTCCTTTCCAGGGAAATGAACAAAAAGATGTATGGTAACTTTCAAGAGGTCTTGAAATAAAGGTTTAGAGTGATATCAATTGCATAATCTCAGGATCAAAATGTTTTCATTCCCTTTGTTCATTTTTCTGTTACAGACCTCACATTCCAGTCAGCAAATTAGTGGTTTCAGAATCCTATGACACTTACATCAATAGAAGTTTCCAAGTAACAAAAGAGATAATAAGTGAATGTAAAAGTAAAGGTACGTGATATTCTTTTGGACTGCGTATTTAAATATGCAAACATTTCTCCATCATGGTCAATAGGCTATTCAAGATGTTTGAACTTGCTTATAGAAAAGAAATTTATTTCCAAACTCTTTTCTAGATACTCTCACAATAATTTGTAATCTTCTCTGAGTGCAGGGGAACACAGTAGACTTAGTTACTACACTCAATAACAGGTTCTACATTGTGGCTAGTCTTATTGCATTCCCTGAAGGGGATTCCCTATTATAATTCCCAGAAGTTCTCTAGAATAACATGTTTGCCTACAATTGATCCAGGAGAACAGATATCTGCACACACACTCACTTGCAGAAACGCATGTTCCTGCTGCCACCAACCAAGAGCAGTGTTGGGTAAGGTGCAAACAGTTGAGGATATGTAGGACTGACTGGTCATCATAAATCTCAAGTTAGTGTGTTTATAAGGCAAACACGGCAGTTATGTACACAAAACTGTCAACAGTACATAGTCCTGGGCAACAGTGCATGAATGCTTTCTACCCTCCAGTTATCCTCATAGGATACACAATCATAAAGATATACAATACAACATGTGCTATCAGTCAAGAGGTCTCCAGTGCTCACAGTTCTGCAGTGGCAACATTTCAAACTGTGGTAGAGGGGCTGAGGGCTGGAGGTGTGGCTCAAGTGGTAGAGCACTTGCCTAGCAAGCACAGGCCAGAGTTAAAATCCCAATACCACAAAAAAAGAGGTGAGGGTTGGCACAAGGAGCCCCAGTGGATATAGACCACTTCCACATCTTGATTATGGTGATGGTTACACAAAGGTAAGAACTATGTACTCACACACAAAGTAGTGCTTATAAGCCTGACGAGAATTGAAGAAGCTGAGTGGATTGCACCAGTGTCCATTTCTTGGTTTTGATGGTTTGCCATAGTTATGAAAGATGTAATCATTGGGGGGACCACCTTGGGAGAGGGGGTGTAGCCTCCCATGGATCTATAATTACTTTCTCTCTTTTTAAAAAACAATTATTTATTTGCAGTACTGAAGATCGAACCCATGGCATTGCACATACTAGGCAATGCTCTACCACTGAGGACTGATCCCCAACCCCTTTTATAGAAATGTAATTGACATATAATAACTGTACATATTTGTAGGGTACAATACATGTATGCAATGTATAATGATCCTATTATGATAATTGCTTTTTGCTCACCTTAAACATTTATCATTTCTTTGTGTTGAGTATAATTATTCTAATATTTAAAAAAATTTTGTGAAAAAACTTAGACTGCCATAACAATAATTAAAAATTTTCAAAATACTGCTTGGGCAAATATTTTTTTGAGAGTGTTCATCCCTTACCACAACACATAGCTTCCAGTATTCACAAAATTTACATATGTCTTTATAAAAATGACCTTCCCATTCCTTGCTTTTGTTCCAGGAAATAACATTCTGATTGTGGCCCATGCATCTTCCCTTGAAGCTTGTACCTGCCAACTTCAAGGCCTGTCACCACAGAACTCCAAGGACTTCGTACAAATGGTCCGAAAGGTAATCCATTCTTGCATTTAGAGGACTCAAGGATCCTAGTAATTTTATAAGTTTGGTGACTGGCTGCTAGCTACTTTCTTTGAAACATGTCTTTACACTGAACTGGGAAGATTCTTTTATTGATCGACTCAACTAAGATGTGTTGAGTGGGACTGTGTAAGGCATTTTATTAGGCCTAGAATAAGAGGGAAAGATGTATTAGTGCTAGTTTCAGCTTCTAAGAGCTAAGATTTACAGAAGCAGCTAAGAATTTTCACCAACGAGGAAACTTGGAGTGGATAAACAGAGGTGAGTCCAAAGCATAGCTGAAAGCTTAGCTTGAAGAGAGATCCTGGCTGGCAGGCCAAAGGATCAGGCTACAAACCCCAGGGGGCTGACCCCACCTGTGGAGTTTTCTTTGTGCCTATAAGAAAGCCTTTCCCTCAGCCACAGTCCACATATTCCCCTTCAGGGCAAGGCAGCTTCTTCCTTGCCTTGCAAACAAAGAACCAGGTTCAAACTCACAATTCTTGTGCATCCATTTCCCATTTGTCTGTTGGCTCCTGGAGGGCAGGCATTTTTGTCTTGTTTGTGAATATGGCTCTGGACACATATCTCAAAAATAAGATTGGAAATCACCCAACAACTGAGTCAGTAAGGACACAGTTTCTGCTTTGAATGTCACAGATACATGTGCTATGCTCCCCGCCCCCTGCAAAAAAAAAAAAAAAAAAGATCAAGCTAAGGTGACACAATTTTTTTAAAAATTGAATGACCTTTCCCATTGTGTCCACATGTGATTTCAGAAATGTTTGAGGTGTCTTTTCAACTTGATGTGCAATTCAGAGTTAACCCCTGTCACCTTATCATTACAAGGTACTCTTATCCACGATTATGCTTTCTGTGGTGTGTTACCAGTGTCAACTGTGGTCCAAAAATACAGTACTATACAGTAAAGATGTTGAGAGATAAAGACCACATTCACATAACTTTTATTACACCATACTGCTGTAATTGTTCTACTTTGTTTACTCCTGTTGTTAATCTCCTTACTGTACCTAATTTATAAACTAAACCTTATCATGGGTATGTAAAGACAGAAATAATAATAAACAGAGGGTTGGACACTGTCCAATGTTTCAGGCAGCCACTGGGGATCTTGGATTCCCTCCAGGGATAACAGGGGACCACTGCATATACTTTTATCTTTTTTTCTCCCTCCCTATTAAGCAGCAGTCTGTAACAATTACATAATGTAGGGGAACTCCCCATTGAATAGATCCTTCTTGCCTCTAATTTATCAGTTCTACTCATTTCATGTTGTCTATTGACTTTTGAAAGAGCTATATTTCTACAAAGCCCTCTCCTATTAAGCTGGGGAGCCACCTGAGTATCTCTGTGTCAGGTGAAGCTTGAGGCCTAATCTCCTGTTTTCTACTTTCCCTTTCCTTACCACTCTGCCTTCAGATTCCATATCTAGGCTTTTGTTCCTGTGAAGAATTAGGAGAAACCGGAATATGGCAGCTGACAGATCCACCCATTCTTCCCCTTACCCATGGACCAACCGGAGGCTTCAACTGGAGAGAGACCTTGCTGCAAGAATAAGCCACCCAAGGGGATGAGAAGAAAAGGTCTTTGGGAGAAGAGTCTGAAGTGTTCAGTAGCAGTGGAAAACTCTGTACCACATTCTAAGTGGATAGCTGCAAATAATTTAGCATATTTCCTTTCATGCTTAAGGTTCTTATGATGAACTGTGTAAATGAGAGAAAGACATGATTCAGGGGAAAGAATGCTTTCTCTCTGGACTCTTGCCTAGCTAACAAGGCTTAGGAGAATCCAGGCACCTCCTACTGCACAGGCTGTTGTCCTCCTTCCAGCTATGCATGGCTAAAGAGCCTCACTCCTCCCCAAGGGAGCTGCCCCCACTTTCAGCAGGGATGCTAAAGGAAGGACTGTTGCAGAACCAGTCTGGGGATGGGATTTTCTTTCGAACTTCACTTTCAAATTAGGCAAAGCCAAGCTGAGGAATAATTTTAAGGTTAGTAGAAAACACACCCTATAGAGTGTTGTCCTTAGGTTACACACCAAATTCTACCTGCAGTAGGTTCCATACTCCAGTGTGTTTGAGAGCCAGCAGTTGGCCCAAGACATCTGCTAAAGATTCTAACATTTACTCTGGTACCACCACATTTTCTCCAGAGCAGGTGGCCCTTCTTGCTTCTATCTGTGAAATGGAGAGATCAAGCACTTTTAGATACTCAGGAGGAAGGGAAGATAAATGTGTGACATAGTCAATGGAAGGTGCAGAGAACTTACAAACTCTAAAGCAATTTGGACCTACCTGTGGTATAGCCCAATAAGCCACAGCACTTCCAAATTGCCAAGATTTGCTTGTCTTTGCCCCTAGACTCTAGACTGTGTTAACTAGTTAAAATGTTGACATTCTGAAAGGATGTATGTTCAATGCATTGTTTGAATCAGCAAGAGGCTCATTCTGTGCAATATGGACATTTTTAGAAACCATACCAAGGGTCAGCTTGTACACATACAGTATATGTCAACCATGACAGAGCATCCACAAGTGCATCAGTTGTACCAGGGATGTACAATGAAGTCAGGGAACTAATTTAAATGATGACAGTCACAACAGCACTGCTACTTATGGTGTCCTCTTTTTGTTTTTTCTATGATAATTTAAAATAGTTAAGAGGTAGAGCTACTTGAGGAAAAGTGGAGAACCACATCCCCTGGTTTCTCATTACACCTACTTCTCATATTTAGAGGGAGATTATTTTTTTTAATTTCTTTTATTCATATGTGCATACAATGTTTGGGTCATTTCTCCCCCAAGGGAGATTATTTAAAAGAAAAAATAAATGACAATCAAACCAAAACATCAGTTATCAATGTCTTTTTAATTGTGTGAGTAGCTCATTTTTAGGGCCACAGACCATGGTCTGGTCTGGTATAGTTCACTGTGTAGGACTTATGTGCAGAATGAAATTCTAGTCACTTCAAGGGAACATTAGTGTAAAACAAATCTATGTATGTTGTAGCAACATTAAGTTTTAAAACCCAGACTTGGAAAACATATGGTATATGAAATGCATCTATACTTGTCTTTGAAATTGTAATTTGATGACCTCTGGAAAGAAGAGGAAGTCAGTGCTTGCTGATAATGTCTGTTAATTAGCAGAAGGATTATGCTTGTGTTTTTAAAAGACATTTAGAGAAATATGTCATGAATTTTATATTTTAAGAACAAATTGTTATTTCTTCTAGCATTACACAAACACCAATTCAGCTTCTAAGCATAGAAATAACCCCATGCTGACACGTTAATATATTTTAACATTAAAATGTCTGGGTCTCAAAAGAAAAGCCACATTACAACAAATGGAATGTCCCTGTCACTCATTCTCCTGGTATTTGTAATGAAGTGAATCCACTGTTTAATTAGATCTGCAATGTTTATTAAATTCACCACAAATTTTCAAGGGCTTTGAATGTTTGGACTAGTGCGTGCACACTTCACATCAGGTTTCCTTAAACTGTAGAAGAGTGTTCTTGACAATCCTCCACTTGTATAAAATTGAGTTCAGAATAGGTTATTCTCTCCACCTTTCTTGACTGTCTTAGTTCCATGATGATCTGATAAATAAACCCGTTTGAGTTGGCTATATTCCATTGTTCTTAATCCACTATGGACAGAGCAGAGCCAAAATTATTTTCTGAATAATTTAGATGGAAAACCATGAGTACAAGAAAAAGTTATTCCTCTGCTTTAATTATCCAAGTTGCTTATCAAAATGGCTGAATAATCTGAATTGACATTAAAATCTCATTGCACACTTAATGTACTTAAAAAAATTAAATGTGGACTCCAGCTGAGAAATTCTTTGGAAATCATGTTGAATCTATGTGTAATAATTTTTAAAAAGACAGATGTTTTACCAAATTTCCTATTCATACAAAAATTCTAGGTTGACATTATAACCTGAAGTTGAAGCTTGTTCTTTTTGAACTGAGGTTAATGCTTACTAGAACAAATTATATGTGGGAGAGGGCTAGAGAAAGAAGGAAGGAAGGAAGGAAGGAAGGAAGGAAGGAAGGAAGGAAGGAAGGAAGGAAGGAAGGAAATGCCAGAAAAGAAGAATCAAATACTTTCTTATGCAGTGGAAATTTTTTTAATATAGATAGCTATGTGAAATGAATCAGGGGAAATGAAATTAGCTAAAAGATTTAATCTGGGATTACAAGCCAAAAACAGTTTCCTGCTTCTACAAGCATCCACACCAATCCGCTAATGCTCCAGTATTATTCATAGGTCGGACTTTGTTTGCTGTGCTTTCAAAATGCCACATCTATTCCTCCGTGGACTAGAATAATTGGCACATTTTAATGCATAAGCTGGGGGCTTCATTTTCCCAGGCTCTCATCACCCCCACTGCTTCACCCCAGTATGGATGGAGTTCAAACGACAGCATTTCCCATTTCATTTGGACTCATCAAATCTGAATGGCTGATTAAATGACCATCTGATGGCTGAAAGCAGGGGTATTTTTCACCCTGTAGTGAAAGGCTTGGAGGACTTTCTACTTTTTATTTTAATTACACTTTAACCAAAGACTTATTTTAAAGTAAACTTATATTTGAAAGATGATTTTGCAAAAAAAAATAAAAATAAAAAATACACCGTCTGGAGTGGTATCAGTTTGGTAAACCACCGTTGACCGTTTTCTTGTCCATGGTGTTCAGGACGCACATAGATTGTCTTCCTGTTGTATGCAACATTACCATAGATGTAGCTTTTCCACTCAGCTAGCTGTATTCGTATTAAAATGAAGTCTCTTTTTTCAATTACCTAGTGCCATTGGGAACTAACTGAACAGCTACAGAAGTTCCTATCTCCTTGCCCTTGTAGAAAGGCTTCCCTGTGTGGTAAAAGGAAGACATTCCTCTGGAACCTAGGCACTGGGCGACGCCAGTGTTTAATTTAAAAGCAGTGATGAATTGCTCTTTTGAATTTACTCTAAGTAATGCATGTGGTAGAGGACAGATGAGCCTCTGTTTAATTTTCACAGACATCCACACAATCAACTGTACGGAATCTGCACGAGGTTAGATAATGAGGCTTGGGGTGATTTGCATTTAAATTGTCATCCAGCACACGTGTGAGAAAGAACGAAAGAAGCATTGCAGGTCTGTCAGAGCTGCCTTGCCGGAGGGATGAAATTGGTGGAGGAGGACAGGGAAAAAAGTGACTGAACTTCTGTTTAGGTTAATGTTCACTTAACAAAGCTGATGGGAAGTGTTTGGTCAGGGGATGGCAGACACTTTCATTTTTAAACATGGTATTAAAATTGGATTTGCTTCTCTTTAATACTTCAGCATATTGAATTTTCCTAGGAAAGTGACTACCTATAAATAAATGAAAATTCAAGGGAAGGAGGAAAAAAGATTGCCTCTAAATGCAAAGCAAGTAACTTGATTTTTAAGTATATATATATATATATATATATATATAAAATATTAGGTTGAATATATGTAGGCTTATAGTGGTGAGTAGTCAGACTTAGCATACAATCAATTCTCACAAATAGTTTACCTGGTGTCACTTACCTGCCATTACTCACACAAAAATCAAAATCTTGCAGGATACATATGTATAATGAAAAATGTCTATTGGTTCTTTCTTTGGTTGCCACTAAGATGGGAACATCATCCCAAAGCCTTTGGTTAAGTAGAACACATTCTAAACCTGCTATTTGGGGGAGGTGTATTGGTTCCTTTTTCACTTATGAGACTATTGTGTCTTTTTTTTTTTCTATGTAATTCACATGTATTTATTTGAAAAACAAGTTTGTAATTATAAAAAAGAAAGCCACACCTAACTGTATTGCCAAATTCCTTGTACACTACCCATGGCACTTGTGCATTTCTGGCTGAGAGCTGTCCCTTCCTGATACAGCTATGGCACCGTTGTGATTAGTTTTCTCCATTCCAGGAGCATCTCTGTTGAAATGGTTCATAGATGACTCAATAAACAGAAACTGTGTCTTCAGTCAATGCGGAGCAATGGCATATTAAATTCTGAGTGGTGTCTGTTCCTATCGTGTTTTGAGATGCTACTGTGGTCATTATGATTTTGTAAGTGTCCATTAAGAGTGGCTCTTCCCTCAGAGGACCAGAGACATGCTGGCTGCTAACTGACGGCTGGAGGAGGATGCTCCAGCATCTCCATGGGTCTCCTTTCCTCTTGGTCAGGTATCCAGCTTCTGAGTCATCCAGACTGGGGAGGTAAAAACTCAGCCATGGGTTAAAGAAAGACAAGCTCCAAAATGTTTCCACTGCCCCATGTGCAGTCTATAGCGAACACAAAATAGATTTCCTTCCACCAATCCTAGGCAGCTATAAATTAGCAAGAGAAAAACAGACAAATTTAAGTTTTAAATTTAAGTTTTGCTTGACATGGGAAACTTTATAAGGAAAAGAAGATCTATAGAAATGATTAAGCCTGGATATTTTTATGCTAAGTTTGATGAAGAGTGAATAGCTATAGAGAAATATGATCGAGTGACTAAAGTATGATCTAATGGTAACAAACTGCGGGGACACTTTCAGTGTCCCTCTGTCTTCAGAGATAAGGTGCTCCTTTTATCCAGGTACAGGAAGGGCACTTATTGTTCGGGGAGGTCAGAGAAATCTTCCTAGGTTTTATGACCTGCTTTAGGGGAAGAAGGTGGTGTCCGAGTTATCTTGTTGCTTCTGTCATTTTCTCTACCTCCTTCATCTTAAGATTTTTACTATTTCAAAGCACTATGTTTGCGATAGAATGTCCTGAATCCCATCCGGGTCTTAATGCTTCACCAATACCTACCACAAGAAGGTGCACCAGGTCTGATCGATAGCATAGGAATCTGGGTAAGAGGGAGCAAACCCAGACTAAATTACATTCTACATTACTACAATCCATAGACCCCATTTTTTAAGCAATTACATGTTAAACTAATACAATTTTAAAATAAGCCTTGAGTGCAAATTTGTGCCCAGGACATAAATACAGATTTTCATTGATACCAGCATCTACTACCCTAGCAGAGTCGGCTTCCTGTGGAAACATAGCAGCTAATGCTGGTAGCTGACAAAAGACCAGGCTATGTTTAGCCTTCTGGCTGGTTCTCAGCTCTTCTCTGCTTGATAGTTTCCCTTTTTTTTTTTTTTTTTTTGCCCTTTTGTGATGTATGCAAAGGCTGCCTGCACACCCAGAGAAAATCAATCAGTGTACTTTGGATTTGCTTAAACTTAAATCAGCAAAATTCAGTGCTTTTTTATTTGTTTGTGTGTTTGTGGTGGGGGGGTGCGGGGGGGCGGTATTTGTATTGAGTTTGGGGGTTTGATTGTTTGTTTGGTTTGGTTTGGTTTTGGTTTTTGTAAAACCAAAGAGCCAAAAAAAAAATCAATCTTCCTCCTGAAGAAATAATACTTCACCAAAAATACACATGTTAAACCCAGATGGCTTGCTTCTGGCCATAAAATAGATGTCATGGTTTATTCAACTTGCTGGCTGTCATTGTGTTTTTAGGGCAATCCAGATGGTCTGTACATCACTGGAGAAGAACATCATGCTACTCTAAAAATAATACTTCTAGAGTCAAAGTTGGGTTATAATCCTGGCTCAGCTGTTTACGAGATGCCTTCAACTCACTTTACCTGTAGAATGGGTACAATTATGACTTTTTTGCCAGTCTGATTGTGAGACTCAAATCAGATTATGAATATAAAATATCTAATACCAAAGGCTAATAATAATGAAATACTATATGCCTGGCTAAGGCTAAGATAAAATCTCACATGAGCCAATCCACTTGTCTATGAGGAATATCAGGGATGAGGAATGAAAGTGGCCTGTTTCACATAGGTATTGATGGCTCTGCTCCTCTTCCCATAAGTGAGCTTCTGTAGTAAGAGGAGACTAGCAGAAGTAGGTCCTTTGGTTGAACTCTGTGGGGTTTCTTTTGTTTGTTTGTTTGGTTGGTTGGTTGGATGATTGGTTTTTAAGACAGGGTCTCACTATATAGCCCAGGCTGACCTGGAACTCAAGATCCTCCTATCTCAGCTACCCAAGTGCTATGATTACAGGCATGTATAGCATGCCCAGCTGAACTCTGTGGTTTGTTCAGGAGGCTACCTTAATGTTTCACTGCCTTCCTTTTGTATACCTCTTTAAAATTATTTTTTAATGTATTTTTCACTTGATCCTCAAAACAATGTTACAAGATAAGGGAACCATTAGCACATGGCATGTAAGAAATTTACACATTGAGGTTGTGGAATCATTCATCATTCTACTCAATCATCTCTATATTAAATGGTTTGTTCCTAGCAAGATGGCAGTCTAGAACTACAATGGCAAAGAAGAAAGTAAGATGATTGCTGTCATGGAATAGAGAGACAGACAATTAATACATAAATGGCTGGACATGATGGCACACTTGTGTAATCCCAGACTTCAGTAAGTTATTGCCCTTGAGCAGAATCTCACCCTTGAGCAGAAGCTGGCCTTCACCTGTCTTTCTGCAGCCCACAAGCTAAGAATGATATTTATATTTTGAAACAATTGGAAGAAAAAGAATATTATTTCATGACACATAATTATATGAAGTTTGAGTTCCAGTATCTAGGAGGTTCTATTGGAATACAGTCTCTCATTCGTTGATACATTGCATGTAGCTGCTTCCAGGGCGTAAAAGCAGAGTTAAGTAGTAGAAATATTTTTATTATTTACTACTGAACCCTTCATAGAAAGAGTTTGCCAACTCTGATGTAGACCATGGTGAAGCATTTGGATTTTGTTTGAAGACCACAAGCTGGCACAAAAACTAGCTTACCTGGCATAACAAATTCATGGGTTTGGGGTTGTCAGGGGGACTGGCAAAGTGAAGCCAGCATTTATTGACTATTTGTACTTATCAGGCTTTTAAATAATTTACACATGCAAATTCTAATCTTCATGACAACCCTATTCGGTAGATGCTATTATTCCTAAATTATAAGAGAGGAAGTTGAGTCTTAGAAAGACTCACTAAACTTGCCCACAGTCACATGACTAAGTGTGGAGCTGAAATTTCAACCATGTCAGTCTGGTTCCAAAGCCTGGACTAGTAGGTTTTTTTCCTTTTTTTCTTTTCTTTTCTTTCTCTTTTCCCTTCCTTCCTTTCTCCCTTCCTTTCTTCTTCCTTCTTTCCTTTCTTTCTTTATCTTTCTTTCTGTGTGTTGAGACAGAATCTTCCTATGTGGCTCTGACTGACCTGGAACACCTCATGTAGTCCAGGTTGGCTTCAAACTCACAGTTCTCCTGCCTCAGACTCCCAATTGCTGGGATTACACCACACCAGACCAAAATATTTTTTAAAGACATTTTCATGAAAATATTGAAGAAGACTGAGTCACCTGGGGATACTTGGGTTCCTCGGAACACTTGGGAAACCACGACTTTGCTCCAATCTTTATTTACAGATAAGACACAAAGGGTGATCACCTATCCAAGCAGAGGTCTGCAAGCACCTTGGATGGGGTGGGGGTGGGCATGAGGTAGCCTTTGTTGTTCTGTGGTACATTCACTTAAACCACAGTTTCCTTTTTTTTTTTTTAATTTATTTTTTAGTTTGTGTTACTGGGGCTCAAATTTAGGATCTTGTGCATGCTAGGCAAGACAATTCCTCCTGAAATCGAGTCTTCCTCGGGTTGTTTTCAGAATGACCCACTAAGTTTCTACCTCCATGCAAGCCAGAGCTCACAGTGGTACATTTGTAGGTAAAAGCCTTAAGAGCAAAAACTACATTGCCCTTTTCCTTTCCCAGGCAAACCTGACATGCTACGGTGGACCTAACATGGTTCCTGTGGAGTAGGATGCAGCCCGGGCCGCCTAGTCTGCAGCTCTACACAGGCTCTTTTATGTACCACACTCTTTTCTGTGGGGCACTCTTAAGTACTGTGTTAAATTCAAACCCCCAGTCACCTTAGCTGTAATTATCTCCCCATTTTACAGATGAGGAAATTGATTACAAGACACCAGTAATGGGCTATATACAGCTACACTGCAGCTTTTGACAAATGAGAGTGCCATCTGTCTCCCATGCCCACACTCACCCCACTTGCTCCTAGGCAACTTTGTTATGGATCAATAACTAATTTCAAAGGCTGCTGTTCTCACTTAGAAACTCCTCAGCAAGTTTTACAACAGTGCTCAAAGAATCCCACCCCAGGTGTGAATTAACAGTGACTTCTGCTGAGAAATTGGGTGAGTCCACCTCTTTCCCTGGCCTTAGGAAAAGCCACCATTCTCCACAAGAGCCATGAAAGGTCAAGAAGGCCTGCTTGCAACAAAAACCCCCAGTGGCTTCAACACATGGGAAATTCCCTCTTTGTTATGACCCTTAAGGTAGTCCGTCTTTAGCCTTTTTAATAAATGCCTCACTTTTCAATCACCCACACACACACAGACACACACATAGCCCACATAGACCAAGGTAATGATGGGAAACAGGATGTTTGTTTGTTTCTCTAAAATCTGTCCTTCCATCTCCCATAAAATGTTATTCCTTGTTAGTAATGAGACATAAGAATGTCATAAAATGGGCATCAAAAATGGCACACTGGCAGTAAGTTGAAGGGTAGCAAAGTATGCCACCCTCAATGCCACTTTGGCATAAGGATTATTTTGAACCAAAGACAACTGAGAAGAAGCAGATGCAAAAAAAAAAAAAACCCAAAAAAGCCTCTCTGCTCCCCTGCTATTTGCCAAATAAGCAAGACATACATGTAGTAAGGTGTCTTTCATTACCTATCTCCCAGGGACCAAGGTTGACTACTGGAGGTATTTTTAGGCCCTTGTCAGCCTGGAGAGGGTGCCAGAGAAGACTGCATAGCAAGCTTTACTTCCCAGTCCATCCATTGTCTCCCTCCTTTTGCTGCCCCTAGTGACAGGTCTTTTTGCTGTGTTGCCACTCCTTCAAAACACCATTGTTCTTTGTTGAAAATACTATTGAGGCCAGCCTTCTAAACCACCTGTTGAGAATTATTAACAGGGTATCTCCATGCACATGTAAAATATGCATGCTAATTATCAGATTATTTGTTTTTCTCTTATTAATGTCTTTTTTAAATTGGGGTCCCTGCTAAGAACTCAGAAGGGTAGAGGGAAAATTATTTTTCTTCCCCTACACACTTGTGAGGCCTCCCACCAACAAGGTGGTCACTGGAGAAAATAGGCAGGAAGTCACTTCCTGACCGCAACAGCTCAAACTTACCTTTCCTGTACACCCTACTAAGCAGCCCCAGTCTGCTGCCTGGACCCCTACTGAGCAGACCTCTGTGGGCTGCAGGCTGAAGTAGAGTTCAGTGAAAGAGTAGGAAGGATTGTGTAAACCACAAAGGCATGTCATACACCAGCTGCCCTCCCCATTTCCCCTGGGGACTGTTCTTAATCTCTGAGTCCAGCGGACATTGGCCAAGGTTTTCAACCAGTTGAATATCATAACCTTTGGTGAATAAGATACACATACCATTCCCCAAAGTAAAATTTAAACTAAGATCTTTAATGTTCTGGAAAACTTTAAGTCAAACATTCTTTTAGACTTCAAAACAAAAACTGAAGTGTCTGCATAGCAAACGGAGAGTTCATTCATTCTTTCCTTCACTCACTGATTGGCAACACTTTTCAAATGAAAAAAATGGAGTAAAGTCTGTCTCAATTTTCACAGTTAATTAGAATTAAATGAGACAAAATTGTTTATTTGCACAGTCTCCCTCACCTGTTCATATTCTTCTAAAAACCAATAATTTATGTTTTATATCTGATTGTGTCTTAGGGAGTTGTATACTAGATAGCTGAGTGATGGAGAGATGGAAGGAAAGGTGGGTGGTTGGATGGATGGATGAGTGGATGGATGAGTGGATAGAGGGATGAGTGGGTGAGTGGATAGAGAAATGGACAGATGGATGAGTGGATGGATGGATGGATGAATGAGTGATGGATGGATGAATGAGTGATGGATGGGTGAATAGGGAGATTCAAAAATGAATATATGTGGGAATAAATGAATTTGTCCCATGATAACCATTAGAAATTGTTGCCAGAGTTAAAGATTTAAAATATTCATGAAGGTTGGACAAAAATTAACTATAATTATCTAATAAACTAGAAAAATAAAAATAAGATGACATTCACAACACAGGGTCATTTTCATCTTTCCCACCCTTTCTCTCCCCCGTTGCCTTACCAGTACTGCCCACTTGTGGTAGAACAATTCCTATCATGAACACATCATTCACACCTCTCCACAATCAAAATGACACTTGTGGTCCCCAAAATGTTCCACCAGGAGGTGTTTTGGGGGCAGCTAAGGAAGAGGGGGCTCCCAGAGCAGGTGGAAGAGTTGACACACATGATGTCACAGAGCTACTGCGTCTCCCTTCAAAAGGAACTACTCTCCTGTATTGATTTCAGAATCTACAGGAAGTCGACAGTGTCCCCTCAGCACAACACAGTATGTGGTGGGGAGTTCTCAGTCTGCTGTCTTGGTTCCCCTTACAAGGTAAGGACTTAAATGTTTTTATTGCTCAGTTGATTTAATGTTTTGTCAAATCTACCTATCAGTCAGTCTATATCCTACAGAAGACCTACTATGGCAGACAATTCAGGTAACTTTACTAAAACTTTTCAAGTCGTGCCCAAATCCCCCATCCACAGGAAGTTGCTACATTTATTTAATCTTTTGTTAAATAAATATAACAAAATATTATATATAGAAAAGAAGAGTCTAGTGTGTGATACGGTGGGACCAGTAATGGCAAAATGTGACAAACTGTCTAGGAGGTCTTTTAAGGCTTTACCATTGGAAAAGTATCAATTATGGATTTTAAAACTTCCTTGTTCTGTGTGTATTAGCTAAATTATTTAATTTTTCTGAAACTCAGTTTCTGTATCTTGAAATGAAGACAACAAATGTTTGACCTATTAAACATCCAACTTGTTATAAGGATCAAATTACAAATGTGGAAGTGCTCTGAAAATAAAGCTCTATGTAACTCTTGTTTAGTTCAGAGATAATAATGAGTCCAAAGAAAATTGTGTTTATTTATAAAATTCAATTATATTTTATATGTTGCTGTAATTTGGTCTTTAAAGCCTAATTCTTGGAATTAGGTTTTAAATGTATCATTATGAAAATTAAGGAAAAATACAGCTACCTTTTTAGTTCAAATTATTCCTACCCAAAAGTGGGGACATGGGTGTAAGGAAGTGACTCCTGGTGGCTCTGATTGCCCTTGTATCAGATGCATACGAAGGAAACCACTTACAAACCCAATGCTTAATTTTTGCCTGTTTGTTTCCAAAGAGTGCCTCTGCAGCTCTGCTTCATGAAACACCTAGCCTTCTAAATTTGCATTTATTATAGAATGTCATCTAAAGGACACTATTTTTAAAAGCTAGATTTCCTCTTTTACATAGTCTTTCAATCTTCTGTTTTATGCACTTCAGTTAGTGCCTCACTTTTGGTCGCTATGCCCTGAGGCACTTAAAAGGTTCAATTCTGGCAATGAGTAATGTTGGTTTCTTCAGAAAGTGGCTTAAAGAAGAGCTAATGCATTCAGATAGAGTACCTTTAGGCAGCCCAAATTAGAATGATTTTGATTAGAAGTTAAAATCCTTCAACTGACCTTAACTTTTTCAGACTTTGAGTTATTTCCACATTAAAAAAATAAGCTTTTAAATAAATAGCAAAAAGTCATGTCTTAAGATAAACGAAGATGAGTCTGCTAGAAAATAAGTTATTCAAATGCTATTTACATGGGGAAGAAAAGTGTTCATTGTGTCATGCGTACTGGTGGGTCCCCAGATTCAATGCCTTTAATCAGAAATAGTGAAGTAGGAATTGATATCCCCTAAGTTGTACATAAGAAAATCGAGCTTAAAAGAAGTTAAGTGACCTGCCCAAGCTTTCACAACCAGTATATAGAAAGTAAATATCAACCTATGAGGCACACAATAAATGTAGTATTTCATGAAACTTCTAATTATCATGTGTGTGTGTGCGTGCTCATGTGTGTGTATTAAGTTATAATAGAAATTATGTTCTTAGTGTGGATGGAAAATTTGAAAGTTACTGACTTACACAATTTGGAAGATTCAATATTGAAAAATCCCAAAATCGTATGTTCTCCCTCACATGTGGACATTAGATCAAGGGCAAACACAACAAGGAGAATGGACTTTGATCACAAGATAAAAGCGAGAGCACACAAGGAAGGTGAGGATAGGTAAGACACCTAAAAAATTAGCTAGCATTTGTTGCCCTTAACGCAGAGAAACTAAAGCAGATACCTTAAAAGCAACTGAGGCCAATAGGAAAAGGGGACCAGGAACTAGAGAAAAGGTGAGATCAAAAAGAATTAACCTAGAAGGTAACACACATGCCCAGGAAATTAATGTGAGTCAACTCCCTGTATAGCTATACTTATTTCAACCAGCAAAAACCCTTGTTCCTTCCTATTATTGCTTATGCTCTCTCTTCAACAAAATTAAAGATAAGGGCAAAATAGTTTCTGCTGGGTATTGAGAGGGTAGGGGGGAGAGGGAGTGGGTGGGGGCAGGGGGAGAAATGACCCAAGCCTTGTATGCACATATGAATAATAAAACAATAAAAAAAAAAACCCAAAAAAAAACTTATGGAATGTAACTAAAAAAAAAAAGAAAAATCCCAATTTGAAAACTCATCCAAAGGACCTCCTGGGGGTGGGTACTAGGGTTTAAGTTCAATGATGTTTGAACAGCAATCGCTCACCCTGCCCTAAACTTGCTCAGATCCCTCAGAGTCCCAAAGAGAAAAGGAGCTGACCATGTTGCTTTCTTGTCAGCAAAAAATAGGCAGCAAACCATCAATTTTGACAGAGCTGTAAATTGCTGGCCTATTTTAGCAAATTAGATGATAGTGAGTTCCCTATGACTGCTTCCATGGCTGCCTAGCATTTGAAAACAAAAGAATCCCACAGTCTTGTCGCCTGCCTGCTCCTGGAATAAATAATCTCTAAAATAAATAAAGAATCTTCAAAATTCATTCCATTTACTTACCTTGTGGGCAATGAGAAGGTCAAATGCACCAAATTTTCAACCTTCTTCTCTAGTTACTTATTTGGAAGGTTGGGTGTAAGAAACATAAAGGAAAATTGCAAATTGAAAGTTCTTTTGTTCTTTTGTTGTTGAATCAGGTGTTTCTAATAGCTATACTGGAAATAATTTGATTTTGACCAGTCTGATTTATTTTCACATCTGTAGTTTCCTCTGTTGATTCTATCTAAAAATAATAAAAATCTCTTTATAATGATCTGAATTGAAGCACATTTTTGCTTAATTCTTCGTAATAGTCATGTAAACAGGGTTCTGATTGAGAATTAACTCATTGTGTGTTTCTGGTTTTAATTTAGCTCAAGGCTCTACTATTTGATGTAACAATTACAGAGAAAAATTGGCATCCTATGAATATTTATCTCTGAAGATACACATTTATTCATTGTTGCCCATAAATTCAACCAATGTCTAAAATCTTATTTTGTGCTAGTCCCTGGGAATATAAAGTGAATGAATGACAGGAAACTTTTCCCTAAGGAGTTGGTAATCTAACCAGAGAAATGCACCTATAACCAAATAAGTGTAAAGCAATATGCCAGGTTCTGTGACAGAAGTTTATTCCAAGTTTTTGGGCATCTAGGGGCGAAAGCCATGGTATGGAGCGGGGAGGCTAAGGCATGTTTGGGAGTTTTTACAGAAGTGGTACAATGTGAGCTGAGTCTTCCTTCATGCTGATTCTCAAAGGAGATAAGAAAGGTATCCTAAGCCACCAGAACAGCTTGGACAAAAGCAAAATATCTTTGGGGCAGGGAACTTTCACATAACCCTTTGTATGGACGATCTAGAAGGGCAAATTTGCACGTACGATCTAGAAGGGCGAATTAGCAGGAGATACCAGAAGAGAACACAGGGGAAAGATTGTCAGAAATTTTGACCCAATTCCTACAGACAACAGGAGCCATAGCAAATATTTCAATGATGTAATCAAATTTATGTTCTTAGACTGAGCACAATGGCTCCTCTATGCATGAGGTATAAATAGGATTGTGGTCCAGGTCGACCCAGGCAAAAACATAAGACCTATGTGAAAAGTAACAAAAGCAAAAAGAACTGGGGGCATGGCTCATGTGGTAGAGTGCCTGCCTAGCAAGCAAGGTCCTGAATTCAAACACTAATATCACAAGAAAAAGTTCTTAAAATGTAATTCAAGAAGCACATGAGGATGGTGAATGCATTTGAGTGAATGAAGATTAGAAAAAAATTATTGCAATGGTCCAAGAAAGAAACAGTGGAGACCTCGACTAAGTCAGCAAGAGTAGTGAGAAAGGTGAACAATAAATTGGTTAAAGAGGTGCTTGGGAGATTTTAAGAGGCCATGGTGCCTGCCAGAGGTCTGGTGTGCAGGGGCTGGTGATACCACTAATGATTATAAGGAACACTGGAGTCAGCAGAATATCTGTATTAGGTGTGAGGGAGAGGGGGTCATTGGGATGGAAAAGATATGAATTCCAGTTGGACATGTCGAGTTTGGGGTCCCTGCAGCACAGACTTGCTCTTCTTTGGTTTTGAATTTGCTACATGCAATAATTGGATATTAAAGCAATAAAAAATAAGGTCTATGTAAGTCTATTGTCATGACCAACACAGAAGTAAAGATCACACTCAGCAACTCCACAAATCTTGGGAAAGACCAAGGACTCTCAGGAATGCACTGCCTTTACCTGTACAGGTTTTGGTAGGTGACTGTGATAGCTGTTTGCCCTTTGCTTGAGAGTTGGTCACATTTGCTTTGGTGTGATGGCATCCACTGACAGGACAATTAGTTTACAGACCCGAGGGTAACAATGTTGGTAATGATCACAGGCTTCACTTCCATGTGTAGTCATGCATAGCTAACACTGTTATGATCTACATCAGACCATGTATGCTATGGTGGTCCCATAAGAGAATCACACAGCCTAGGTGTGTAGTAAGCTAGACCATCTAGGTTTGTGTAAGTACACTCTATGATGCTTACAGGATGATGAAATTTCCTAAGGATACATTTCTCACAATGGGTCCCATTGTTAAGCAATGCACAACTGTATAAACCAGTCACAATCTATAACCTCAGGCTCAAATAGAAGTCTCATACTACATGGCCATGCATGGTTGGTTGCTTCCAGTCATAGGGATAACAACCAAGCCCAGAAGCAATCTGAGTCACCATGACCTACCAACAGGAAGTGGTAACCTCATAGGAGAGACACCACAGTCATTCATTGTCAAGCTCTGTGTGGAGCCACATAGGGCTGGTTTTCAGATAAGGACTCTGAAGTCCAGATAGGCAGAACTAGAAAATATGCACACGACACTCAGGGTCTACATGAGAAAACCCAAGGGTGAATGAGGGTACTGCATATATGGCTTTAGCATTTACAGGGGAGGAAATGGTGAGCAAAAAAATACCTCACACCTTATCCCCCTGACATCAAAGGTGAAAGTTTAACTCCAAACTTAAGTGAAAGAAAACTGAAAAGGCAACTTTGAATTTAGTCAATAGCACTGCAAAGATCATGGGAGACTTTTCCTCAGAAGATGTGCCATTGAGATTCGGGCATAGCATCTCCTCTTCCAGCTTTAATAAGACCTAGGCACAATGAACAATATTTATAAACACTACAGTCGAAGCAAAGCTGAGTGGGCCTGTGGCTTCTTACTGGGGCTATTCTTCCTTTCTTCAGTTTCCTGTTGCTAAATCAAACACAGGGTCTACATGGTAAGACTGCAAGATAAATAGGCCAAAGCAAATCTTGCAACAAAGGGTAGAGGAAATAACTAATGTTCTGTGCTGTGAAGGCAGTCACTTCCACGTCCAACTCTGGCAAGTAGTGACAAGGTCAGTTTAATTCTCAACAGCAAGAGCAAGTCCTAATCTTAGGATATACCATACTTCAGCTTTAAAAAAGCCATACAACATTTCACTACACTCTTTAAGATGTTCTAACAGTCAAATGACCCTATTTAATTCATAGGCATGAATCCCAAGAGAAAGATAAATGATTTATACATCTTTAAGATGGGAGACATTTATTCATAAGCAAGCTGTAGATAAATCTCACCACCCCATCTTATCAAATGCACCCTTTCTGCATACACAATCATTTTATCAAAGGAAAGAATATTAGTAAATGTTCTAAGCCAACTTCTAGCACCAAGGATAAAATGAGGTCTTATTTCTTAACACTAGTCTTCATTCTAGTATTGATTCATGTGCAACTTTCTTCCAGTAACTTCCCTCCTGTTTTGCAGTATTCTTATTAACAAAAGGGCAGAGATATCTGCCCATTGCCTGTATCATATACCATCATAAGAGCTGGCATTAAACCATTACTTTCCAAACTCACTGTTACCGTCCGGGAGAGTCTGCGATTGATTCAGATTCTTGGCAAATTGAACAAAGAATGGGACAAAAACACACAGAAGTAGTAAAGTGTGGATTTATTTAAAGTAGAATGCACTCCCTCAAGGCAGGAGTGGGCCTGAGTGAAGAGTCTGGAGCCCTGACTCTCTGTCTGTGTTGTAATTTGAGGTGAAGCAGGGGCTGAAAGGGGGTTGGGAGGGACATTCCTCCTGGGACTGACAGTTTTGATTGACAGGAGGATGTGCATGTCCCTACCCATAATGCATCATGTTATAATTACAGGCATGAGATGTGGTTCATATGTATGAAACTTTAAGGGGGGGTTGTCTCAAAAGGTCATTTGAGGAGGGGTTCCCTAGTCCTCAGCACATGTGTTAGTTCTGGGACTTTTCCACCTGTGCAAATATCCTGCCTTATCATGATGCAGTGGCTACTGAGCTGACCACAAAAAGGGGATTCCAAGGAATTTCCATCTAGATGCTTCCTGATGGGGGCAGAGGTGTCCTAAGGCAAAGCTTGGATTAGCATCCATTTACCCCTTCTTAGCCACCCTATCCTTCCCTATCCTCCTGCCTCAATACTGTAAGAGTTTCTATAATAATGTGATTTTAGAGAAATATAAGATATAGTTATAAAAATGAGGGCTGGGGTATGGCTCAAGTAGTTGAGTGCTTGCACTAAGTACTACTCTAGGTTTTTTACATGTTATTTAATCATCTCAACAACTCTATGAGTTGAATGCTATTTTTTCCTGCCTTTATGCTCAAAATGAAACAAACCTGAGACACAACTTACCCAAGTTCATGGTGTGAGTTTGGTGGAGCCAGGATTTCAAACCAGGCAATTTGGCTGCAGTATGTGTGCTTTCACCACTGCACATGTCATGGTAAGGTCAGAGGTGTGAATATAATATAGCTGCTTTACAGTAACTTCAGGTGGAACCAAGTTTAGGAGACTAATGACAGGCAAGAGAATCAAGAGCTAAAATGTTCTCAGAAAGCTGGAACCCTCAGTCCAAAGTGACCAAATAAGACTGATGTAGGGACACCGTGAAACCCAACTTTGGTTTCAAAGTGAAATGCACCAACACAGGGAAATGTGCTTCAACCACAGGTTCTCTGAGAAGCTCTGAGTGTTTTTGGTGGCCACCAACTCCATATGAACCTAGTGAGGTAGTACAAGTCAAGTGTGAAACACTGAGCTTAGAATAAAAGGCTGTGTGTGGCATCCATGGTGTGGCAGTGAATGTCCTGCTGTGCACTGGCCAGATCACATGACACCTGGGCTCCTTCCAGACATAGAGTAGTGTTTTTTGAGGGACATGTGGGAAGGGGTGAAGAAATGATAATGAAACTAAAGGTATGTCCTTAATTATTTGACCATGCTGTGAAAAAGCCAATAGAGTTGGTCTCTTTGTTTTCAGAAGACCAAAAGAACCCAGATCAAAATGCAAGTCATAAAATGACAGCTAGACTCCTCCTTCAACCACCCCTGTCCTACTCCCACTCCCACTCCCTATCTTAACAGGTAGAGGATTTCAAGACTAGGGTCACAACTTGTCCACTTGTTACTTGGTAGGCTTAGAAGGCCCCTCCTGAGAGAACACTCACTCCAGCGAGGCTGCCATGGTTTAGATACAATGAGGCTGTAGAGTGTTTTTCTCTGAAGTCTGTGAAAGTAAGATAACTTCATTATCCTTCTGACCCATTTGGCTCTTGCAAAAGCAGAGTATTGGCCCCAGTACTGGAAGAGCAACTGTGGGGCTCTGAATTTTTAATTACTCATTGCACTGCAACTGTGTTCATTGGGAACGGAAGGGTCTGAGCACTTGGGTTGGGGGTCAGGATAAATGATGTATGGCTCCCACCTCCAAGGATTCTGAATAATTATCAACAGATACAACCTGAGAACCAGGGACTTTGAAAGGTCTCTAGGTGATTCTGATTCAGTGCCCAGGTTGAGGACCAGTGCTTTCCCTCCCTACCTACCATGAGCCACATGAAGACACAAGAACGGGAATTAAGCAGCTTCCCAAATTTTATTATCAGTAACAATCCCTTATTGTTATTGAGATTTCACTGTCATTTTCAAGCATCATGACGAATACTACCCTTCTTTCTCATTTATGGGTTGTTCTTATAGATGAAAATATTCCCAAATTACCAAACCATAATTTTGACCTTAGAAGTCTATATGTTTTATTTTTGAAAACACACATTGCTATCTATCTATCTATTTATTTATTTATTCATTTATTTATGTGTTAGTTCTCTGGCAGGGTCTCTGGCATGCTAAGCAGACACTCTGCAACAGTTACTTCCCCAACACCCAAAATCTCTTTTTATTGACTAATTGTTCATTACAGTATTGGCTGATGGCATGGGTGTTTCTCCATTAGAATTCAAGCAAACTGCTTAACTACAAAAGTCAATATGAATACAATACAATAATTCTGGGTTATTACTGCTGGAGGCTAGATTAAAAAGAATGACTTAGGAATGGAACCCATAAAAAAGGCTGCACCAATTAATTCCCAAAACATTTTCCCTGGTACTTAAAATTTATCACAAGGAAATAAACTCCCTTATTGCTTCTTTCTTTTCTTTTCTTTTAGTTTATAATAACAAAATAAGTTACATTTGCTATTCATAATTTGTAACCCTACAATATTCTTCTGTTTATGAAAATATTTTATACCTTCATTGACAAGAATTGTGCTATCCTCAGGAAAAAAAATTTTAATTTAAAATTTGAAGAAATAATGAAAATCAATAAATGTGTAAAATCAGCAGTAAAAGCCAGTTTATTTTTCCTTCATTTTCTTCCTGGGAAGATAAATTTGCAGCTGCATAGAGCCAATTGTCTATCATTCTCTGAGGGGTATGATTTGGAGAAATTAGACTCTCACATGTTTGCCTAGAGAAAGAAAGAATGTTGAATTGGAGATTTACCATAGACACTCTCTGGCATTTATGTACTCTTGGTGAAGGGCAGCTCCATAATTCATGAGAGTACCAAGAATTATTATACTGTGTATGTGTGTGTGTGTGTGTGTGATAATGGGCTAGAACCCAGGGCCTTGTGCTAGGCAAACTTGCTATGCAAGTGTCTCCCATTGAGCTATACCCCAAAATATCTTCATAGAATCCTAGACACACACCTTATGCTTAAAGGTACAAATTACCCATTTTATAAACCAAGTTCATGAATGCTGAGTTGTCTGGGGTCTTATCACTTGATAGACCGATGACATAGTTACAGAAACATGGATTTTTGTCCTGGGTACAAACTCCAGATCCATGATCTCTGTGAACTTGAGCAGCTATTCCCTCATCTGTAAAGTGAGCAGAAGTATTCTTTCTTTATAGGGTTTGTTTGGGAACTAGATTTAAGGACTCTGGCCTGGCACAGTTCCTGATATGTCCCAGAGCGTGGACCCAGTAACAGCTGTTCCATGTTCCTGTTCTACCAAAATGTTCTTATATTTTTACTTCTACAAGAAATATGTAATGAATTACTGAGTGAGGTTGTGTTGAGACTAAATCCCTACCACCCCACGCCTGTGGCTGGGCCCATCAGCCTGACAGACCCAATTCTCTCCTCCACAGAGGCCTTCCTGACTAACCACATGGAAACCATCACCGTGGAGGAAGGACAGACGCTCACTCTACACTGTGTCACTTCCCTGACAAAGAATGCCTCCATCCAGTGGCTGGCACCTTCAGGCTTCACCATTTTTTTAAATGAGCATCCTGGTAAGTGAAAAAAGAAAAAAAAAAAATCTCCATCAGACCTAAACCTAAAGGATTTTCCAACCATGCAGCTTAGTGGGACAGAAAATCTGCATGAATCACCAAAGGGTGGGCTTGCCCACCTACTGTCACATGTAAATCACACTTCTAAAGCCTGATATTTGACGCATAGCTGCTTTGGGGGGGACAGGAAGTCTGAAATGGAAACCCCACCAGAATGGTTATGAAAGGGAGCTCAAATTACAAAGCACCTTTCCGTGTCCCCACACCACCCCCACATCACATTTTGAGTGTCAGGGACCATGAAACACCCCATAGCAAAATGATGGGCAGGCAATAGGCTGACTTTGCCCTCATGTAGCCAGTGTTACCTCCCCACATCTGCAGCCAGCTGCTTCATTTTCCACCTGAGCAATCCAAAGTCACCTTACTAAGCTCCCTTCCAAATATCTCTGCTTCTCCTCCCTGTTGGCCTTCACATAAAAGCAAGATATCTAAGCAATAAAAACTGACAGGACACATTACTTTGAGAAGGCAGATGGTCATTTCCCTCTTCACAAACACACATGAAGTAAGTGGACGATGCCTGACACGGGCAGGAACTCAAAAGTCTATTTCATTCATCTCGTGGACTTTGAGAAAGATTTTGCTAAGCCTTCCCTTCACGATGAAACCATTTTATATCTCTATTTAATATTCCTAGCTGCCAAATACTTGAAAAAGTCTAAACCAGCAAATTCTTGTGTATAAAGCAGAGCCTCTAAAAATATTGGTATGCTTTGAAAACACTATTAAAATATTAATATGTTAAATATAAAATAATGAAATACATTATTTCAAGTGAAATCAACTTTTAATGCTAGATTCCAGTGGAACAAATAGATACAAATTGTTAAAAGTTGTAAAGAAATAAACTTTGAGTAGAGCTATTTCTATTAAATTATGTTCTTTGTTGTTTTATTTTGTTTTTTTGGGGGGAAACTGGGAGAAGATAGACATTCTGAGGGTTCCATGGCAGATAGCTTCATCTAGCTCAGTGGCTCTATATCTGGGGTGATCTTGGTCTCTGAAGGACATCTGCCAATATTTGGGGAAGACTGGATTATTACAAACAGAGAATGGGAGCGATGATTTAGCATCTAACAGGTAGAGGTCAAGGATGCTACTAAACAACCTGTATCCACAGCCCCACAACAAAGAACTGTGGACTCAAAACTCAATAGAGCAGAGGCTGAAAACCCCAGAACTCTAGTTCACATAGTTTCAGGTCCCAGGACACACAGGCATGGTTGCAGATGAGGAACACATTCCTTGGGCAGCTATTCAATGTGTAACTATATTTTACACTTGTTCATACTATAAATCTTAATGATTTTAAAAAAATATAAACAGCAAGCATGAGGCCCTGTGTTCAAGCCCCAGTTCTGAAAACAACAACAACAAAAAAAAAACATATAAACAAAAACATGCGTTTCCAGAGCCTATGATTTGCTAAGGGATCTTGGCCTTGACATGGAAATTCCAGGACAGTACATAATCTACTAGTTGAAACTTTGGAGACTTTACTTTTTTGCTATTAGCTAAACACCTGAAAGGACTCAGTCGTCATCTATGAGAATCTTTAAATAATACTGAATAGTTCAAAATTTAAAATAAAAAGCACTTAGCTGGCGCACTTATCACTGCATTCATCTTCCATTCTTGACATTGACTATGACAGGATGATTTCAAATGAATCAGATTTCAAAGAGGTAAATCATAGTGGGTCATTTTTCATTAAAACAAACAAACTAACTAACTAAAATCCTCCTGCAACCTGAGTCTGTCTCCAGTACAGTGTTCTTAATTTCCCACAAACACAAAGAAATTTGTTTGCTTCACAGATTCCACTATCCAAACATTTGCTTCAAGAGGCATCCAATCCACCTGGGGAACACTAGAATTTGGAAGGCAGTGCAATTGAAGGCATGACATTTGTTTCTTCAAAGCGTGAAAATCAAAAACTATTCCTGTAAATGATCAGTCTGTATTCATCTGATACCTTTCCTCATAACAGCATTACTTGTCTCTTGTACAGCTTTTAAAAATTCCAAATACCAGCTTCTTCATCACTCAGCCACACAACTCTCCATCAACGTGCCCAATGTAACTTTGCAAGATGAAGGCGTGTACAGGTGTTTTCATTACAGTGACTCCGTGAGCACAAAGGAAGTGAAGGTGATTGTGCTAGGTAGGTACCCCAACAAGGTAACCCAGTATGACTTGTGAGGTAGGTGCCATATCATTTGAGTCACACCGTCAGCCCTTTTTGCTTTGGTTATTTTTGAGATAAGGTGTGGCTTTATGCGCAGTCTGGCCTGGACTGCCTAGTATAGCTGGGATGACAGGCTTATACCACCATGCCCAACCACTGATTGAGATGGGGCCTCACTAACTTCCCCCTTTCCCCCTGGGCTGGCCCCAAACCACCATCCTCCTGATCTCCACCTCCTAAGTAGTTGGAATTACAGGTGTGATCCACTTCGCCTGGCCTTCTCGTGTTGACTTATAGTGTAGTGCCAGCTGTAAGTGAAGGCAGGATGGGAAAGTAGCTGAACAGGAGTGGCTCTCTGGGGGTTTGGATAACCAATGTGACTCAGCTTAGGAGTTATCTTCTTCCCATCTGCCTGGTCACCTTGAGTGCCATCCTGCCACAGACTGTTTGTGTTCTTTTGGGTTTTCATTGTATCCTGTGCCTACCTCTATCACTTTGCAAGCATGTGAAAGTCCTTTAACTTGACTGGATTCTGGGCAAAGTCAAGTGAAGAAAAAATATACCCATTAATTAGACTATGCCTTCTCAGGCTCTGTTCTTTGCTGATGCAGACCAGCTAACTAAGCACAGAAAAATCCATTTTCTTCTAGCAACTCCTCTCAAGCCAATCGTGGAAGCTTCAGTTATCAGAAGGCTGAATGGAGAAGACCATGTGGTACTCAAATGCTCCACCCAGAGAAGCAAGCCTCCTCCACAGATAACCTGGCTACTGGGGAATGGACTAGAGATCTCTGGTAAGGACTGCTTCACTTCTTAAATTTCCAAGGAAGTTTTTAAATGTTCTGTCGCCCTCTGGTGACAGGAAGTGCCAACAGACACCATTCAGTAATTCAGCAGTTCTGCTCTAAATTATCCTTGTAAATCAATATTATTTCTAATGTTAAAAGACTAATTATGAGTAATTAAAATTTTACTTAAAAAGGTAGAAGCCTAAAATGGAATATTAATAAAAATTCCCTAAAATAAGAGATGTAGCATAGCAATTACCTCTGAGCGTACACTTTCCCAGAGGCCTAAAATTGAAAATGTTCACGTGCTGCTCAATTTGCCATGGGTTTATGTAACAATTTCAGTACCATAAGTCAGGGACTGCCTGTAATTGGAACAGATAAGATATTCCTCATACAGTGTACTATTGTGTCACCTCCACAATGACAGACTTAAAATGTTACAAGAACAAAGAATCTAAACTTTGAGGGTTTGTTTGAAACAAGCTAAGCGATTATGATGTTTGAGAACTACTCTCTAGTTCACTTGCATTTTGACAGACAGTGCCTTCAATAGCTATATAATCACGTATTCTTAAGAGCAACAAGAGACCCTGCACAGTTGAAAAAGTGACCAAATTAGAGCTCTAGAGAGAAAAAAACCTAAAACCCAAACTGATTTCCAGTCTAGCACCAGTTCTACTTCATTATCAAACTCCTTTAATTTGTTTTACTCATTCAACCTGAATAAGTTCTTGGGTTTCATCAAACAACATCAAGCGATCCCTCTTGTGTAACCACTATAAGCTTTGAATATTTCCCCAATAGTGAAGGGTTTGTTGAAATCTATTCACTCTCCCTCACACTTTTGCATTTGTGGCCAGAGCCAATATGTAAAAAGCAACCGACTGAGGTTAGATTGAGGTTAAACCTAATATGTTTGCCATGAAGTCAAAGCCACTGGTTTCTAGTAGAGCCAAACCCACCCAAGAGCCATAACCTTTTATATCTCTTTAAATTGTTACATAGGTGGAACCCACCATGAATTTGAAACTGATGGGAAAAAATGTAATACCACCAGCACAGTCATGGTGCACACATACGGCAAAAACTCAACCGTGTACTGCATTATCCGACACAAGGGCCTCCATGGGAAAAAACTGGTCGCGCCTTTCCAGTTTAAAGACTTGGGTAAGAACCAATGTTTGCCTCCATTTAAATTTTTTAATTTTGATTTTTTTGGTGGTACTGGGGTTTGAACTCAGGGACTTATGCTTGCTAGACAAGTGTCTTCCACTTGAGCCATGTCCCCAGCCCTCCATTTTTAATTTACATTATTATTATACTATCAAGCAAAATTAAGTGGACCAGGCAAAGTCCTTCAGAGTGAGATTACTGTCAACAAAGCTTCCCTTAATAGTACATCCCTGCAATGATTTACAATTGGAATGAAATTTCTCCAACAAAGAACATGTGTCCTCACATTCCGAAGAAACCCAGTTGGGAGTAAGGTCTAGCAGAACGTCCTGTGCAAAGAGCATCGTGCTTTCTTTTTGATAATGACTGCTGGCCCAACTTGACTGGAAATAATTTTATTGCAGTCATGTTTTTGGAGATATCACATAAAGCAAAGCATATCCTTGTCCTTGACCCAATAAGAGATAATACAAACAAATAAATCTAAACTTGTCGATATCATTTTATGTTCTTGTAAAACGCTTATGCAATTACATTGACATGATTGCTGTTTACATTTCTTTTGATATGATGGTTTTGTAGATTCACCCAAAATTCAAGATATAACTTAAAGACTGTAAACAATTCTTTCAGTCAAGGAGTGTCCTATAGAAGTTGCACGAACCTCTGAGCTTTGTTGTTTTACAAGGTTCTTCTAAATGTGAAAAAGAGATGCTTAGAACAAGAAATCCCTTAAATGAAAAGATTTGATGAAGGTGCATTTAGTGAAAAACCCTTATCAAATGAAATAGCAGACAATGACTAGAATTTGAAAAGGGCAAGGGTGTGTAGGAGAACCTCCCCAGGGAAAGCTGCTATGATGCCCTATGGGGGCAGTGGCTGTGGTTGACAGGTCCGCTCACACTGCCGCATGCTTTCCATGGGGCCCTTTCTCATCAAACCACAAGTAATTTACTGAGGAAGCTGCCCTAGAAGACTCAAGGCCCCACAGACTGGGCTGCACTATAATCTTACAAACACACACCTACTCCTTTATGATTCATTCCCCACTCAACACCTCCACCTCCACCAGAGGGGCTAGAGCACAAAGGCATTCTGGGAATAAGACTATCCACATGATTGCTTCCTAAAGACATTCAGAGGGCAGATGCAGTGCCTCACATCTGTAGTCCCAGCTACTCAGGAGGCAGAGAGTTGGTTGTTTAGTTATGTTCTCAAGGCCCTGAAATCAAACTCCAGTCCCTCAAAAAAAAAAAAAACAGAAAAAGAAAAGAAAACAATTAGCTTCTTAGAACTTTTGCATTCGGTTCTTTCCGATATGTTGCTTTGCTTGAAATACACATAAAATAATTCAACTTCACACAAATATATGTCTTTGGAAAAGGAAAGAGTGTTTCAATAGCCTTTTTGTATAATTGCAGATATTCTTTGATGCTACACCAAAATTCGACAGGTAGTTTCTTCAACGTTAGCTGCTAAGTGAACCCAGAAAGTATATCAATGACCTTTTTCTACTCTGTTGCATTAAAATCCATTGATCTCTCTTGCATTTTGTGTGGGTCTTTTAACCCAGGCATGATTTTCATGACATTATTCCATGGTCATTTGGAAAATAATGATTTACTGACTCCACAGATCTTTCAAATGTTGGTACATTTCAATATCAAAATCAAATCCATTAATATCATCACTGATCCCCTCAGAAGTCTTCAAGTGTTTGAAAGCTGCCAAGGTCACAGTGATGGATACAGGTTGTCTAAAATTCTAACTTGAAATTTTGTTGATGCAACTGAGGAACTAAATTTTAATACTATTTAACTTTAATTAACTTAAATTTAAATGGACTAGGTAATTAACAGATATCCCATTGGAAAGCAGAGGTCTATAACATTTTGGCCAGCTTTGGAGATAAATCTCAATGGGCCGGTATCCATATACTCAAATGTGGGAGACCACATTCACATAACTTTCATTGCATTATGTTGTTATAATTGTTTCATTTTATTGGTACTTACTCTTGTTAATCTCTTACTGTGTCTATTTTCTTCAGTTTTTTTGTTTTTAATATTCAGTCTAAATGCAGTTATTTAGCAGCTTGTTGATTGAGAGGATAATTAAGAGTACAAACTCTAATTTTAAATATACATGGTTTGTTTGACTATATATAAATAACTTGTAAACAAACATGTAATTACCTGAATTTATGCAGTCGGTACTATGTTAGAAGATTTTCATCATTATTGATAGATATTATTCTATGTGTTCTTGATATTCTTCATTTATGCATGGCATCTAATTTGTTTCCAATATTTGTATTTGATTAGCTCTCAAGTTTTTCACTTGCTCCATTATACAAGCCTCCTCTTCAACTTTCTCTGGCATCTCTATGGTCAGAGAGCTTATTTTAGCCTGAGAGTCTGCCCAGTGTCCCTTTATCCATGGTTTTGCTTTCTTTGATTTCAGGTTACCCATGGCTCAATAATGAGAGAGGGAGAGAGAGACAGAGGGACAGAGAGAAGGGAGGGGAGACCACATTCACATAACTTTCATTGCATTATGTTGTTATAATTGTTTCATTTTATTGGTACTTACTCTTGTTAATCTCTTACTGTGTCTAATTTATAAATTAAACTCTATCAGTCTCAAGCTTTGGGGAGGAGGGGTTAGAACATCTCCCCCTCAAATAAGCAGGGACAGCTGTGTTATTATTCCTCTATTTCTTCAGTAATTCTTCCTTTCCTCAGAGAAAATTGTACTTTTCGAAAATTACATGTGTGATTAAAAAATAAAAATTTTAAACCACAGAAAAGTCTTTAAGTGAAGAGTGGGAAGCACTCATATATTTTGAGTCATATTAGTAAATTGATAGGCACAGTTGTTACATGCTTCCTGGATGCTGACTTCCAGACTGATAAAAATCTATCCAAGCTCGTTTCTTTACATTACACAGTAACATTTAGTAAGCATTGTGCTTAAGAAGCAGGTAGGCATTGTACTAAATGTTATATGAATGAACTTATTAATTCTCACCAAAAACAATCCTCAAGAGTTAACTGCTGTCAGTATCTCTACTTCACAAATAAGGAAAAAATTCAGCATTAGATTAATTAAGCATCTTGTCCAACTCACTCAAGTGCAAACAAATAGCAGCACTGGAATTCAACCCAGTCTGAGGCTAACACCTGAGCCACCTAGCTGATAAATAGGAAGATAGATATGCAAATAGATAGATAGATAATAGATAGACAAATAAAAGAAAGAAGGAAGGAAGGAAGGATAGATTAAGTAGGTAGGTAGATGCACAGGGATACAGAGATGGTGAGTAGCCCTCACCCACTACTGCCAAATGCACCAACCTGCAGAGCTCCAGCAACTGAACCTTTAAGCAGGCTGGTTGGCAGATGGACAGTCAGCAGGATACAGATTCAAAAACCAGGGCAGGAGCTGCAGAACACACAGTTCTGAGGTTTCAGCACAACCTCCATAAGCAGGTAGCAGCCAAATCCATTCTGTTTTACTGACACGATGTGGGTAAAACTGCTCTCCACAGTTGCAGAATTTTGTTTTTCCCCTTTCCTAGTTGCTGACCAAGAGACAGCATCAGAGGCCCCCGAGAACAGCTCCTTCTCCTCTCAAGATCCCCAACAGACCACAAGTACTGGTAAGTGTCAAGATTATTGAAACTTAAAAAAAAGTCATGCCTGCTTCAAAATTTGAATTTTCTAATTCTACATTTTAAGAATACATTTATTTTAATTTTTAATAAGATCATACAGGATCCCTTCCAACTGGCTCTAGCTTTGTGGTGTCCTGGAATAAGGCCACACCACAAGGACATAGTGGGAAGGGCTTCTAGGTGACATATGCCTTGTCAGCTCAGTGGTATTAGGCTTGAGTTATATATGTGTACACATGCACACGCATACATGATTGTCACACTTGAATTTCCTCTATAAAGGACAAGATTGAATTCATTTACGAGGAGACTTGTTCTTTGCTTTCCCATCTAGAACAGAGCAAACACAGCACAAAGGCTTGATATCAACAGAAAGCCAAGAAGTAAGCCTGGGGATGTAGAAGCTGCCATTGAATAATAAAATCACCTTTGAGCATTGGTGATGTGGTGGTGAGCATAGCTGCCTTCCAAAATCACCTTTGAAGGCCTGTCAATTACTTAGTTGTCAGGAACTAAGGGCATTTTTAAGGACAGGATTGAACTAAAACAAGAATTTAGAAAGCCTGGATTATAATTCTAGTATTCTAGTTGGAGGATTCATTAGCTGATCAACTTGGAATAATGATCATATATTTACTTTAACTTTGTATTTTGGGGAGTAGAGGCAGTACTGGGGATTGAACTCAGGGCCTCTCACTTGCTAGGCAGGCACTCTACCACTTAAGCCACTCCATCAGCCCTTTCCTCATTGGTTATTTTGGAGATAGACTCTTGCTTTATGCCTTTGCAGGCCTGGACCACAATTCTCCCACACCATGGCGCCCAGCCATTGGTTGAGATGGGGTCTCACGAAGTTTACCTGGACTGGCCTTGAACTGAGATGCTCCTGATCTCCACTTCCTGAATATCTAGGATTCCAGCAGACTTTTAACTTTGTATTTCACCCAGCTTAGTATCCAGCAATAGTGGGACCTCAGAATATACAAAATGAATGAATGAACGAATGAATTTGTTTTGGTGTTTTGAGCAAGACAGTTTAACCTCATTCTGGAAGGCATAAATTCCTCCACATGCTTTTTTCTGCTTCATGTGCTGTCTATAATAATCCCATTCGGTAGGATAAGTGCTTTCAGATCATTATCATGCTCGTAGTTCTGAGTATCAGATCACATTTTTCAAAACATGTATCCGGAATAATATTCAAAAGTAAATGTTTTGGCTTTTTAAACACTGATAAATACAATCTGTACCATGCAGCTTTTTTGAAGAGTGATGGAAATTGAAAATGTTATGAAGTGGAACATCTATATCACTTGCTTTAATAATTCAACATTTTTAAGCGTGTTTAGAATCTGGTTGGTTGTCTTTAAATTGGCTTGCACCACTACTAACAACTCAATTTTCTGCTCTGTGTTTTCATAGACAACATAGGATTTAAGAGATATGGTTTCTAAAATTTCTTTCCATTTTCAATTTCTGTGATTTTATTACTGCTAATAACTCCCATTTTCAGTGGAGTAGGAGGCTTCATTCCCCTTGGGGTCCACATAGTGGCGCTGTGCAATGGGCCAAGCACACACACACACACACACACACACACACACACAGATTATAAAAGGTTAAAAAAAAAAAAAAAGCAACCTGGGAAGGGAAGCAACAAAATCTAGACAAATCATCTCTTGTTTTCATCGTTTGTCTTATCAAACAAAAACAGCATAGCGTATCCTACTTCTAAAAGAGAGACTGCAAGAAATTTAAAAGACAGCTGAGGCTCTATTTCTATAGAAAAGTCATTGCTTTGTGCATTTCGGACTGGAGGTTTCTGTCCATAAAGCTTGGGATACCATTCCTCAGTATTCAGTGGTTATCTTAACAGCCCTAACTCAGGAAGGAAGCATAAAATAATAGCTTAAATTTTGGGTTCTTGAGTTAGAGAAAAACTGAGTTTCAATGTTAGTTCTACCACTTATTTGCTACAGGACACTAGGTTATTTACTACCTGCTCAAAACCTGTGTTTTCTCAGAGCTGTGGTAAGAAATGGTAGGCACCAGTTCAAGGCCTGACTACATATTCAATAAATGTTGTCCTTAAAAAACAATGAGGCAAAGGGAATGGACTCTTTGCAACTTTTTTTAAACAAGAAATCAGTATTTGAAGTCACAGAAAAACAAATGCTGCAGGTTCTCTCTCATGTGAAAGTTTTTAAAAATTGATCAAAGAGGAAGGGAGTGGACTAGTCGTTCCTAGAGGCTGGGAAGGGTACAGGGAAAGGATGCCACAGGGAAGTTGAATGGCAGGTACCAAAATACAGCTAGACTAGGAATAAGTCCTAGTGTTCTAAGCAGAGTAGAGTGACCGTACTTTATAATAACCTACTATCTGTATATTTTAGAATAACTAGAAGAGTGGAGCTCCAAGCTACCAAACATAAAGAAATGACAGAGATGGAATGCTATCTACCCTGATTTGATCCTTACTATATACATCACATTGCACCTCATAAATATGTTCAATTGTTATGTGTTAACTAAAAGATAAATTTTTTTAAATTCAAAACTGAGCTCAATGTTTTTCTAGTCAGGGTCACTTATGGGTTTCCAAAGCTATGCAAACATCGTTACAGTCTTAGTTTATCTTGTACTGCTGTAACGGAATACCATGGACTGGGTTATTTATAATAAACAGAAATATCTTGCCTCACAGTTTTGGAGGCTGGGAAGTCTAACATCAAGTGGGCACATCCAGTGAGAGCCTTCTTATTATAGTAAAGAGCAAGAAAGAGGTGCAAAGCTACTCGTGATAGAGGACTCCTCTGCAATAATGATATTAGTCATTCATGACCCAAACTCCTCTGAAACATCGCACCTTCCAGTACCACCACATGTCAATTAAATGTCAACATGAGTTTTGGTGGGGACAAACAGCAAAACCCTAGCAGTTGTCTACATGAGTCATATGTGTACAATGTATGAAATTTCTCCTCTTACTTCTTTTCACCATAGTCTCAGTAATGGAAAATTCCAGTATACCAGAGACCGACAAGGGAGAGAAAGAATCAATCACTAAAGACCCTGACTTCACCATTGGTAAGTGTCGCCTTCCAAGCTTAGATTCAACACTTGAAATTATTATTTCTTAGTTCAGGAATTCAACGGCCTTTCTCAGTCCTCATTTTTCTTGACCCTTCTGTCCTGTATGACACGATTGGTTAATCACCACCTTGTCCATCCTCGACTTCATTGCTTCCTACCTTCCTTGACCTCCTGTGCTTGGTCCTGTTTTGAGGGGTTTCTTTTTTTTTTTTTTTCCTGCTAACCACTGCTTCTCTGTATCCATCAGCTAATTACACTTTACACTTCCTTCTCTGACCTTTTGTTCTTTCTTTAATTCTTTTTTTCAGTTAGTGCTGAGTATTGAACTCAGAGCCTCACACATGCTAGCCAAGTGCTCTACCACTAAGCTACAAACCCAGCTCAGCTTTCCTTAATTCTTAAAAAGTTTACCTATTCCTGAGTTTTGTCCTGATGCCTCTAGGGATTCAAGAATGCATCTGGAATTTTCTAATTTTTCCAGAATATTCTTCTGAGTATTAGTCCTGATTTCATTCAATTTTCTACATATCTCTGGCCAAATTTTCAGCTATCTCCTCAACTCAACATCACTAAAAAACAAAATAACACCTTTCCCCCCGAAATCAGTATGTCCAAAGCATCACAGATCCCCAAATCTCTGTATTATCCCAATTCCTACACATATAGATACAAATATATGTATATGTGCGTACACACACATATTGAATTAGCCAGTTTCCAAGGACTTCGAATCTTCTCTTTTAGGTGTTTTGTCCATTGTCACAATCACCTCCCCCCACCCCATCTAGGCTTTCACTCAGTCCTTGTGAGATATTATAACTTCAGTTATTCTTTTCTGGTCCATGGTAAGCACCCTACTGTCAAACATCCTTGTTCATGCTCCACAGTTTTGTTCTGAAAACCTTTTTAGTTTCCCACAGTCTACAACTCAGAGCGTCAGCACCCACCTTCCATAAGGTGCACTCCTCCACCTCTGTGCAGTCCTGCCTCTAGAAAGTTCACATAAGATACACATGGTTCTTTGAAAATACCACTATTTCAACAGCTCTGCCCTGCTTTATCCTAACTGCCTCCAGTGGAAGGGGAGGCTTCATCTTTAATGGACTTAGTTCTCCTTCAAGACCATTCTCTCCTTGGAAAACTTCCCTGACTCGCTCAGCACTCAAGACCACTCTTGCCTCTGAATTCCCAAACACGTTATTATAGAAATACACACGGTTCTAGAATTTGGTATCATGTATCTTAGTTTTGTTTACCATTATCAGTGTATTATTGACATAGAGAAAAAACTATTCCTTCACACAGAGGGACTGTGTCTTATGCACTTCCCAGCATAATGTTCTAGCCTATAGCAGGCACTCTTTAATAACTTATTAGTAAAGATGAGGAACATTTACCAGAATTGCAGCCCATAGAATCAGAATCCTAGGTTTAGAAAGACTTGTAAACTCATCTAGCTTATCCCCGAATACCTTCATGTAGAACTACATTTAACCTAGCCAAGATAAACAAATTTTCTTTTTTTTTTTTTGTGGGACTGGGGTTTAAACTCAGGACCTACACCTTGAGTCAGTCCACCAGCCCTTTTTTTAATGGTTTTTTTCAAGATAGGGTCTGGAGAACTATTTGCCCAGCTTGCTTCAAACCCTATCCTCCTGATTCTGCCTCCTGAGTAGCTAGGATTACAGGCATGAGCCACCAGTGCCCAGCCAAATTTTCATTTTGCTTGTATATTTTCCAAACTCCTTAACAATTTCTTTTTCTACTTAACTACACTTTACCTAGAAGTATTTCTTATAGCTAATTTGAATCCCCTGACTGTAATTTAAGTCAATATTCTTGCATACTTTCTCTAGAAATGAAAAATAGTTACTTCAAGATCTGTCGTTTTTAAAAAAAAAAAAGAGAGAAATAACTTTTCAAGTCATCTCTCAGAATTGCTTTGTTATCCCTTTTTGCTCAGTCTTTACCTTCATGAGTGAACTCACCCCCATCTCTTTAACTGAGCTGGGTTTTAGCCTATACAACGTTGTGGAAGTATTGTTGATATTCATCAATGACTAAAAAAGAAAAAAATTAGACTGCCTAAAATCCTTTCATTTTCCTTACAGAAGTAAGTCCTCAGTATAAAGGATTAGCAAGGGAGAAAAGTGGCACCCTGCTGCTCACACTGGTGTCCTTCCTCATCTTCATCCTCTTCATCATAGTCCAGCTCTTCATAATGAAGTTGCGGAGAGCACATGTGATATGGAAAAAAGGTGAGTGGGTAGAGACCCGGATGGAGGCCAGACACAAGGAAAATCCTGTCCATTAAAGCTTTTCTGCAGACTGTGCACAATCTAGTTTATGAGTGTCATCACTCTAAGCAATTACTTCCTAATAAATGTGGGTTTCGAGTCTCCAGAGACCATGGTCAAAACAGAAACTAAAGTAGCTCTGGAACTGGTGTTAAATGTTAGACACTTCTTTTCACAGAAGGATGCAAAGTGTGGACCTCATTTATTCAATGAGCATTCATTGAGTGCCTGTTGTGTGCCAGGCACTGCTCCAGGCACTAGGGACACATCCATCAAGAAGACAGAGCACATCCCTGTTGTGAAGGAGTTTGTATTCCAATTATGGACAAAGGTTGAATGTCATAGATTTTCTTGGTCCCATTCTTGCCTTGCAAAACTGCGCTCAGCCTCACTCAGCCATAATATATTAGTTATGTTTTCTTAAGCATTCTAATGAAAATGATATCGTTGAAGTGTGTGTGTGTGTGTGTGTGTGTGTGTGTGTGTGTGTCTCATATAGGAGATGTCTATCAAAATACACAGACTCAACACATATCAGAGCTGGAAGGGATCTTGGAAGTTATTCATTCCATAAACATGTGCCAGGATTAAATCCGTTCTTTACTTCCCAGTGGTGATGTAGCCTGTGCTACCCAATTCAATAGCCATGAGATGGCAACTGAGTGCTTGTCTGTGACTGGACCCTATCGGGATATGCTGTAAGGAGAAAATACACACCCAGTACACACACATGCACACAAGAGTAAAATATATCTCCAAATAATATCTTGAATTATATTAGTTAAATAAAATGTTAATTTCATCTGCTTTTTAGTTTTTGCACGTGGCTTCTAAAATTTGTTCATTTACTTATTTGGCAGTGCTGGGATAGAACCTGAGGCTTCACAGGTATTAGGCACGCACTCTACCACTTAGCTACATCCCAAGCCCTAAAATTTTTATGTTTTATTTTACTTTATTTTATTTTATTTTTTGGCTGTTCTAGGGTTTGAACCCAGGGCCTTGCACTTGCTAGGCAGGTGCTCTACCACTTGAGTCAAACCTCTAGCCCTTTTGCTTTAGTTATTCTTCAAATAGGGTCTCTTGCTTTTTGCCTGGTGCCAGCCTCGAACAGCAATTCTCCTATCTATTCCTCCTGCTTAGCCATAATTAGCAGCAAGAGCCACCATGCTCCATTTACTGGATGGGGTTTAGCTAATTTTTTCCTGGGCTGGCCTTGAAACCACAGTCTTCCCAATTTCTGCCTCCCAAGTAGCAGAGTTTACAGGCATGAGCCATCATTCCTGGCCCTAAGATATTTTAAATTACCAGTGCAGCTCACATTATGGTGCTGATCTTACCACACATGGCTCCAGCACATCCAGTAACAGAGCATTACTTATGTCCCTAGGCAAAATGCTGGATCTTTGAGTAGTGTCACTCTTCTAGTCCAATATCTGTCTCTAGACAGTCAGATGGACTAATACCCTCATTGTAAATAAACCTAGAGATGGGATCTGACTTTTCAGTTGTCCCAGCCTGCACGGAGACAGATGTCATAGTACCACTTCAGGACCTAACATTAATGATTCACCCCCACTGAATAGGGCTATTGCAATAGTTCCTTCCCAAAGGACAAAACTTGCTACTATTCTGTTGTCATTGGACTTCCACAGCTCTTACAGTGCCTTCCACAGTGCCTGCATAATCCTAGTATGGACCCAAGAAAGCTATATGTTGAATTAATGAGGATATGATGTACAGGAGGGCTGATAACCCAAGTATTGTACAGTAGCCAAGGTCCAATCATATTCAAGTACATTTCTATGCATAAATGATGTCCGTGGCACCAGAAGTTAGTAACTTAATTTTCTTTTCTTGCAGACAATGAAATTTCAGAACACACCCTAGAAAGTTACAGATCAAGGTCAAATAATGAAGAAACATCTTCCCAAGAGAAAGATGGCCAAAGTAAGTCAACTGTGTGACCTGGGATTGGAGAACTGAGGCTCATTTATTAGTTGCCTTTAAGAAAAAGAGAAAAACGATCAAGGCTGTTTGACTCAAAAGTCAATCTCTTAAATCATCTTACAGAATTTAAGGAAGTTTGTCTTAAATACAGCTGGTAGTTAAGTTCGCGTAGCAGAAGGTGTTATTCTGCTTTAGGAAGCCACCCCTGACACCTTGCTGTCACCCTCAGGTACCCTGTATGGCCCTCCATACACCCTTGTCAATGAGGCACTTCCCACACCAGCCTGAAATAGTTGGCATTTTGATTTAGTTGCCACAGTGTATTCCTTCAGGTGACAAATAATTGGATTTATTCTATATCCTTGGATCCTAGAGGCACAGGGCCTGGTACAAATAGCGTTTGATAAATTCATTTTGAATAAATGAATGTGAGGCTTAAACTAATTCAAGCAGAATATTTCTGAATGGCTTCATTGCAATTCTTCAAGCAAAATAAGCAAAGCAAATGAAAAGAATCTAAATATGGAGAGACAGAGAGAGAGAGAGACAGACAGACAGGCATAATATGTGCATATTTTTGATGCCCATTCAAAGGCCATCAGAAGCTAGGTTTATATAAAAATAAGAATTTTTTTCCTTTCAACCATCTTGTGTCCTCCATGCAAATTGATTCATTCTCTGTGCCAGTGTGCCAGGAATTACAAGACACGCAGTGAGCTTGGCTGCTTGGTTCTATTGGGTTTTTTTGTACGAAGCTGGTTTTCTGTAGCACCTCTGCCTTTTGTTTTGTTTTGTTTTGACCTACTAGTGTGTGAAATGGAAAGAGACAATAGACTAGTAGAGAGAGAGAGAGAGAGAGAGAGAGAGAGAGAGAGAGAGAGAGAGAGAAACTGACTGTGAGAGGGAAGAAAGGTGTGGAACTGCATACAATCTTTTGGGTTGCAAGACATGGAAAGTGGTGTCAGTATTAGGTGCAAGTTAGGGTCCTTCCTGAACTGGCTTTTTGGTTGGTTGTTTTGTTATTGTTTTTAGGTACAGGGTTTAAACTCAGGAGCTTTCACTTGAACCACACCCATGGCCCTTTTCGTTTTAGCTGTTTTTCAACTAGGACCTCATATTTATGCCTGGTCAGCCTGGACCTTCATTCTCCTATTTATTTTAATGCTTCCCACATAGCTGGATGATAGGCATGTGCCACCACACCCAGCTTTTTATTAGTTGAGTTGGGGGTCTTAAGCACTTTTCTCCCAGTTTGACCTTAAACCACAATCCTTTCAATCTTTCCTTCCCAACACCCCAGTACCTAGGATTACAAATGTTAACCACCACACCAGCTCCTGTGTTGTTTTTCCTAGACAAGGGGAATGAAAACCATGGGAGTAGAATTATAAGCTTTAGCAGGGAAAGAAAACTCCTCAGTTCATATCCTGAACAAAGTAGAAGCCCTTGCAGTTGAATTTAAAGAAAATTGAAAGTGAATGTTTGCACTTATGGACCCATCCCTACGGTGGGGGGGAGACGGAGTGGGGTGTGGGTTAAAGGTTAGGGGTATTCTCCACACTTATGGAAAGCTGAATTTTCTCCTGGGCTCAGATCTCCACTTTCATCCTCCTTGCCCAATGTCCTCAGATCCAGCATTGCAGCTGTAATTGTTCTGCATGTTTAAAATATAAATCTCACTGGGCATGGTGGTACACACCTATAATCCCAACACTGGGGAGGTTGAGGCATGAGGATCCCATACTGAGGCCCGTCTTGGCTACACAAAAAATAAACAATAAAAGATAAATCTCTGGGGTGATTTCTAGCCTCTATGTACAGTTGCATAGATGTAGAGGGTTCTGCCCATATATGCTATTTTTTTTAGTGTGCAATTTTGCTAAAGGCAATGTGTTGCTTTCTGCAACACACATACTATTTTATAGTAGAAATGTCTACATATTTTATTTCAGGTTTGTTAATATTTTGTTTATGTAGCAATAGCAAGACTTTTTGAAAATTAGGGTATAGCAATGCTTTCAGACCATTTGTATGCATCAGGGAGTCTCAGGTCAGAATTTATAAGACATTAACATATGGGTCTAAAAACATGATCTCCAATCAAAGTGTTTCAAATGAATGGGTGTAATGGTGTTCAAAGTAAATATTAACCTTTAACTTGTTTTCTTTTCAGCTTCCCACTCTAACCGTTGCATGAACTATATCACACGGTTGTACTCAGAAGCAAAAAGCAAGAGGAAGGAGAAGGTACAACATTTGAAACTAGAAAGAAAACACAGACATGTCCCGGAGAGCATTGTGTAGTCAGCAGAGCAGCATCTGGAAAGGAGCACAATTACTGCAGCATAAACAAAGTTCTTTGAATGCAATGCAAGATGGTGTTCTCTGAGCCAGGATGGCAGCATGAGAACCAAACCATGGACGGAAAGCTCACAGCTAGAAAAAGGAAAGAACCTATTATCCCTGACACTACTTCAGAGTGTGAGGATTCTACTAAGCCTTGTGGATCAGGGTCATTGTGACCAGCTAACATACCTCCAAGGGAACAGGACTTTTAGATATGGGGCTCTAGTGGAACTACGTAAGAAAAAAAATTTTTTTAATGGTCATAAAAATGAAGAGCTTCAGGATGAAAGTACCTGCAGAAGAACTCTGATCCTAGGAGGCTCCTCTCAAGATGGGCTTTAAGAAGATGACATGCAGGTGTCAGGAAGGAATGGTACATCACAATGGATGACAGACAAGAAGCCCTGAGATCCATGACCCCAGACACAGGGAATGAGCTCAAGGGAGGCCCACAAAGTAGAGTGTCTTGCTAAGTCACATCAGCTGACCTGATAACATTTTTAAAAACTGATTCTTCCATGAAAAAAACATGTACAAAAGAAAATGAGTTTAATTGAATAGTTATTGACCTAATGAATGGGTTTTTTTAATCTTTAATAAAGAGCAGAATGAACATTCATTTTTCTAGTGCTTACAGTCCAAGTTGTTCTTCATGCTTTCACATGTGAAAGTGACATGTGATATATCTTTTTTTTTTCTATCAGACTCTGCCATTATGTGACACGTTCCTCATTGCTTGGATCTGAATGAACCAATTCTAAAACAACACACAGACACACATCTATATATAAGCTTATACTTGGTACAGGGCCTAGATCCTGCTGTGCTGACTTAAATTTTTTTGACAACCACAAAATTATAAAAAGGTGGAAAGATAGCACAAAGCACTTTCCCCACCTCTCCATTCGAGAATGAATTGACATGACACCCATCACCCTCAAATATGACAGTGCGTATTTCCTACAGACAGGGGTACTCTCCTCTGAACACAAAGCAACCACTAAAATTGGGAAACTAACACTGTTATGTTTCTGCTAATAGTCCTCAGACACCATTCACATTTTTCCCATTGTCCCAATTGTCCCAAAAGACCCAGTTCGGATTCACACTTGGCTTTCATCCCATTCAGTTTGGAACCATGCCTCTGTCTGGTTTTCACTTTTATGACCTGGGCATTTTTGCAGAATACAGGCTAATTGTTTTGCTGAACATCCCTCAGGTTGATGTTTCTTCATGGCTAGGTTCAAGTTAAAACTTCCATTTGTCAATCACAGAAGCCATGTTATGTTTATTTTATTGCATTTTAATTTTCCCATCTTATTTATTTATATTTTGGTGGTACTGGGTTTTTGAACTCAGGGTCTCACACTTGCTACACAGGTGCTCTACCACTTCAGCTACTCCTCCAGCCCTTTTTGTGTTAGGTATTTTCAAGATAGGATCTCACAAACTATTTGGGTGGGGCTGACTTGGAACCTCGATCCTCCTGATCTCTGCCACCACCGCTAGGCTGTCCCATTTTATTGATGGTGCTCACTTTGATCATTTTGATTAGGGGATTAACTACCAGATTTCTCACCCATAAAGTTAACTCTATTCTCCTTTGAAAGTAGGTCGTTTGTGAGGAGGGGCTATAAAATTTTGCAAACATTTTGTTCCTCATCAAGCTTTAAAGTTACTCTTTTAATGTTTGTGTGTGCTCTTAATTTCCTCTGTTATTCCACAGGTTATAGTCTGTAACTACCAAATTAATCCATCACTAATTTCATGACCAAATTGTGGAATCTGTTTTCTGGATCTTTTTGATGTATCTTCCTCAATCTTCAAGTACTTTCTTGCTTTGGAACAACTGATATTTCAGGTTCATCTTAAACTTTTCCCACACTGGCCCTGATGTCAACCAACTCTCTAAGGATTCCTGGTTCTATTTAGTGGAAAATGGTATTTAGAAACCAAAATCCAGTGATAGGTATACTTAATTGTTTTGGGGCTATCACTGTGTTCAAGATCTTTCAGTGGACAGAGCTACATAATCTGTGACAATTTATGTAGGTGGATTATGAAGCTGTGTATATGTATATATGTATATGCATCTGTGTGTGTATTTAAGCCCATCTATTGGAAACCATGGGTTTATTCTAGATTTCTTTTTGTATTCGTAACTCTCTCCTGTGAGTTATTCTTATCCTTGGTATATTTGCTTATTTGATCAGTCCCCTATATGAAGGTTATTTCTTATCTCTGCTACCAACCCATCTTCTCAGGATGTCGTCCTCTTTCTGCCCAGGCTCCAACTCCCCATTCTGTGCTCCCCGGCCTACCCTGCTATGTGAATGCTCTGCTCACCAGCTTAGGCTCTGACATCCCAACACCAGGCAGCCCTGCTGTGTGGAAGCGCCTGGCGCGTGCACATACACACACACACACACACACACACACACGTGTATGTGTACTGCATGGCACCCTTCTTACCCACTCAGGTTCACACTCTGAAAAGTCATCTCAGAAAGGAATCTGTTTAGCTTTGTTAAATTCAGCGTTACTCACGCTTACCCATTCACAGTCATCCCTCAGTACCTGTGGGGAATGGTCTCAGGACCTCCGGTTCCCTCCCCTCCAGAATACCAAAGTCTGCCGATTCTTAAATCCCGTATATAAAATGGCGTGATATTTGCATGTAACCTACATATTTTTCTGGTATGTTTGAAAGCCTTTCTAGATTTCTTATAATACCTAATACAATGTAAATAGTTAATATACTGTGTTATTTAGGGAATAATGACAAAAAGAATGTCAGTACATGTTCGGTGCAGATGCACCTTTTTTTCCAAATATTTTCCATCCAAGGAAAACATGCAGGATTCAACCACAGATATGGAACCATGGATACAGAAGACTGACTATAAAGCAATTCATGATGGTTGTCCACCCAGTAACCAATTTCTTCTACCTTTCTAATGGATTTGTGACTTTGTTCTAACATCCTCCTCACCCTGTGTAGTCATGTGTTTCAGCTTCTCTCTTAGCCCAAAAGAGAAACTATGATTGTGCAAATGGGTCATGGCAGTCCCATTCCCTTTGCTCATGTCCAGCATAGGCACAAGCACATAAAACAATGCTGACCATTGAGAATAAGCAGAAGTCCTTAGTGGGCTTTGAAAAAAAGAATAATATGTATAAAAATTATTCTATATTAAGTATACAAAGGAGTTTCATTGTGATGTTTCCATGCATGTATATAGTGCACTTTGATCAAATTCACTCCCAGTATCTTTCATGTCTCCTCCTTTCTTAAATGATTTTTTTGCATGGCACTGGGACTTGAACTCAGGACCTTCACCTTGAGCCACTCCACCAGCCCTTTTTTGTGAAGGGTTTTTGAGATAGGGTCTCGTGACTGTTTGCCCGGGCTGGCTTCAAACCGCGATTCTCCTGATCTCTGCCTCCTGAGTAGCTAGGATTACAGGCATGAGCCATCAGTGCCCAGCTTCTAAACAATTTTAATAAGCGACATTATTCTGTTTTCATACATGCATATGAAGCACTTCTGTCATATCCCCCCACCCTCACCTTTTACCCTGCCCCATCCAACTAGCTCCCACCTCCAAAGAATCCCATTTTACACTTGCATCACTCTCCTTATTTTAGGTCTAGAGTCTGCATTTCATAGAGAACATGCAATATTTCTCTTTCTCAGTCTGGCTTATTTCACTTAACATGATGATCTCCAGTTCTACCCATTTTCCTGCAAACAACATAATTTCATCCTTCTTTATGGCTGAATAATACTTCATTAGATGTCTCTACCACATTTTCTTAATCCATTCATCAGTTTAAGGACACCTAGGCTGATTCCATAGTTTGGCTATTGTGAATAGTGCTGCAGTTAACATGGGGTGCAAGTATCTCTAGCATGCTGACCTACACTCCTTCAGATGGATCCAGGAGTGGAGTAGCTGGATCATATGGGAGTTCTATTTTTAGTTTTTGAGGAAACTCCATACTTATTTCCGTAGAAGCTGTAGTGATTATATTCCCACGAGAGTGTATAATGGCTCCTACCTTCCCCCATCCTCACCAGCATTCATTGTTTTGCTTCCTTGATGATAGCCATTCTGACTGGGCTGAGATAGAATCTTGGTATAGTTTTGATTTGTATTTCCTTTATGGCTAGGTATGTTGAACATTTCTTCATGTATTTATTTGCCATTTTTTACTTTTTCTTGTGAGAATTGTCTGTTTAATTCATTTGCCCATTGGATTGTTTGTTCTTTTGGCATTTAATTTTTGGAGCTCATTTATATATTCTAGATATTAATCCTTTAGCCAATGAATGGCTGGCAAAGATTTTTTTTCCCATTCTGTAGGGTGTCTCTTGATTCTGGTAATTGTTTCCTTTGCTGTGAAGCTTTTTGATTTCATTCAATCCCATTTGTCAATTCTTGCTTTTATTTCCTGAGCACTTGGAACCTCTATCTTCCCGGGTCTTCCTATGTTTTCCTCTATTAGTTTCAAAGTCTTAGGTCTTACTTAGATCTAGAATTAAGTTTTGTACAGGGTGATAAGTAGGGGTCTAGCTTCAGTCTTATACATGTGGATATCCAGCTTTCCCAACACCATTTGTTGAAGAGGCTGTCTTTTTTCCAACATTTGTCTTTTACACCTTTGTTGAAAAAGAGCACAGACTTGTTTCTGGGTCCTCTGTTCTATTCCATTGTTCTAGGTGTCTGTTTTTGTGACATGCTAAGGGAGAAAAGAAGATTTTTCTTAATGCTATTGCCATAACTGCAAATGATACCTAGAACTGCCATTTTGTCCCATCGGGGATCTGAGTTGCTGTGGTGAAGATGCCATAGAAAAGAGACAGGGGGAACTTGAGACTGGTGACCTTGCTAAGGTGCTGAATGTTTCAGAACTTCTTAAAAGAGATAAAGATCCCTCATTATTCAAGCCAGGTG